ACTTTATACTTTTACTTATAGTTACTTTAGTGGACAGCAGACACTTTATACTTTTACTTATAGTTACTTTAGTGGACAGCAGACACTTTATACTTTTACTTATAGTTACTTTAGTGGACAGCAGACACTTTATATTTTTACTTATAGTTACTTTAGGGGACAGCAGACACTTTATACTTTTACTTATAGTTACTTTAGTGGACAGCAGACACTTTATACTTTTACTTATAGTTACTTTAGTGGACAGCAGACACTTTATACTTTTACTTATAGTTACTTTAGTGGACAGCAGACACTTTATACTTTTACTTATAGTTACTTTAGTGGACAGCAGACACTTTATACTTTTACTTATAGTTACTTTAGTGGACAGCAGACACTTTATACTTTTACTTATAGTTACTTTAGTGGACAGCAGACACTTTATACTTTTACTTATAGTTACTTTAGTGGACAGCAGACACTTTATATTTTTACTTATAGTTACTTTAGGGGACAGCAGACACTTTATACTTTTACTTATAGTTACTTTAGTGGACAGCAGACACTTTATACTTTTACTTATAGTTACTTTAGTGGACAGCAGACACTTTATACTTTTACTTATAGTTACTTTAGTGGACAGCAGACACTTTATACTTTTACTTATAGTTACTTTAGTGGACAGCAGACACTTTATACTTTTACTTATAGTTACTTTAGTGGACAGCAGACACTTTATACTTTTACTTATAGTTACTTTAGTGGACAGCAGACACTTTATACTTTTACTTATAGTTACTTTAGTGGACAGCAGACACTTTATACTTTTACTTATAGTTACTTTAGTGGACAGCAGGCACTGTATACTTTTACTTATAGTTACTTTAGTGGACAGCAAACACTGTATACTTTTACTTATAGTTACTTTAGGGGACAGCAGACACTTTATACTTTTACTTATAGTTACTTTAGGGGACAGCAGACCAGTGTTGGGAGTAACGCCATTTAAGTATAACGGCATTTCTAACGGCGTTCTTTTTTAGGTAATGGAATAATCTAATTAACTACTTTTCCCGCCGTTGCAACGCCGTTACCGTTACTGGGGACGGAAGGTTGTGCGTTACTATGTGCTTGTCGAACGTTGAGCAACAGTGTGAGGCTTTCTGACCGCCACACTTCAGCTGCAGCCAGGGAGAGAGAGGTGTCGGTAACGCACTTACAAACACGATGATGATTGGCCGGGTGGGCGGATACCCTCACGGTCTCAGTCACTGCCTGCTGCAGAAACAACAAAGCGCTGATGGGAATAACTCCGTTTAAAATAACCGCGTTAATAAAAAATATTTCTTTCAGTAACGAGCAAACTAATTAAATACGTCTTCTTTTATCAAAACGTCGTTCCTGTTACTGATAAGGAAATGCGTGCGTTAAGCAGCGCGGTGTGTTGAAGCTGTCATCAGCTGATCAGGAGCTAAAGAAGCAGATGTTTTCATCCAAGAGCATCACGGCCCGTGAAGAATATCTACGGCTGCAGACCCGCAGATTCACTGCTGCAGGTGGGAATCTGCAGCAGCGAATCTGCGGGCCTGCAGCCGTACCCTTCTTAGCGTGACAGCGGGACGTCCCGAAGGTCAGCGGCGTGTCCAGATCTTTTAAAATGGGGTGGCCCAGGTGAGGCACAACTTTGTGCATGGGTGGTACCAATGGTTGTGCTTTTTTTGTTTTACCTCCAAGCCTTTTGTGGACTTTAAAGCCTATTTAAAGGTAAATTAGTGTGGTGGCACCTGGGGTGGCCAATCAGATTCCAAAGGTGGCATGTGCCACCCCAGGCCACTCCCTGGACACGCCCCTGCTGAAGGTCCGCTCACCTGCTCACCGCTCAGACGTCCTGATCTTCTGCCTTCCTAGATCATCCAGCTGTAACCTGTTTCTGATCATGTCTTTAGTCCCGCTGTAACGCTGATGCATCAGTCTCAGACGTCATGGAGCTCAGGTGTTATCAGAACTACCTGTGTGTGTTTACCACCCAGCTTCAGCTCTTCTGTGGTTGGGTCTGACCCAAGTTAGTAAATGTAAGTCCTCCATCAGGCTTGTGCCTCTTCTAGTGTCATTTAAAAGGATATTTATTTATTTATTTAACCGATACTAGATTACCAGCAACAGAAATGCTGCTAAAAACACACAATTATGTGAAGCTGGAAAAATTAGAATACTGTGCAAACTTACATTCATTTCTGTAATTTAACTAGACTGAGAGACCATTTAAAGGCTCAAGAACCTTTGCAGGTGTTTCTATTTGCAATTTTTAATTTTAGCTGATTGGGGTCTTGTTAAACATCACACAGTGACCTTTTAATAGTCTAGATTAGTGTAATGTTCCTATTAGTAGTTCCTCCTGTTAAGTGCTTATTTATTTAAATTATTCAGGTTTATAAAAAACATTTGGACAAACATTTTATTATGTTCCAGACATTCGTCATTTATATTTCACTATTGTAGTAATTCTTGCATGCTTTAATGAAAAAAGTAACTATGTAGTTATTTCTGTTGGTAATTAGTTACTTTTATGATCTTGTAACTCAGTTAGTAACTTAGTTACTTTTTTGACAAAGTAATCAGTAACTATAACTAATTACTTTTTTAAAGTAACGTTCCCAACACTGCAGCAGACACTTTATACTTTTACTTATAGTTACTTTAGGGGACAGCAGACACTTTATACTTTTAATTATAGTTACTTTAGTGGACAGCAGACACTTTATACTTTTACTTATTGTTACTTTAGTGGACAGCAGACACTTTATACTTTTACTTATAGTTACTTTAATGGACAGCAGACACTTTATACTTTTACTTAGTTACTTTAGTGGACAGCAGACACTTTATACTTTTACTTATAGTTACTTTAGTGGACAGCAGACAGCAGAAAGTCTTCAGGAAGATTGAAAGAACAAGTGAGCTCCCTGCTGGTGACAAAGCAATGTGGCATCAAAGTAAAGGGGGTGGCGTGACACTGAAATAATTACATGCTTGACTTTGTAAAGATTTGTAAAATTTGATTAAAAGACCTTTTCTCATTTAGATGATTTGAAAAAAGAGACTACGTGTTTATTATTCTGTGATCATCGGCAATGGTTTAGTCTTCCTCTGGGTATTTAAATGAACTCTGGCTTTGTGAAAGTGAAATGTTTCTTTTCTTCTAAAGTCCTGCTGCTGTGGTTAAAAGCTGTGTGCTAGGTATTTGTTTAACCTGCAGCAGACAGCAGGTGTTCTTCAAATGAGAAAATGCATTTACAAAATATAATGACACAAATTATTCAGAATCAGAATCAGAAAAGGTTTATTGCCATTGTCAATGAACAAGCAGTTCACAAACTAGGAACTTGTTTCGGTACTAATGTGCCACATATAACATGAATAATAAATTTCAGAAATAGAATAAGTAGAATAAAATATAATAAAACTAGCATAAAACATTCAGCTATAAAAAAGGCAGGTAGTGGTAACACGGCCGATAACGTGACGTAGTGTCGAGTACAGAAGACGAACATGGTTGTGTGATTATAAGCTATTTACAAGTCTAACGGCAGATGGAAAGAAGCTGTTCTTATGGCGGGAGGTTCTGGTCCGGATGGACCGTAACCTCCTGCCTGAGGGAAGCGGCTCGAAAAGTCTGTGTCCCGGGTGAGAAGGGTCAGCTGCAATCCGGCCTGCACGCCCCCGAGTTCTGGAGACGTACAGGTCCTGGAGAGATGGAAGGCTGCAGCCAATCACCTTCTCAGCGGAGCGCACAATGCGCTGCATTCAACATAATTAAAGTAAGTAAGTAAGTAAGTAATTAAAAGTTTATTTATATAGCGCCTTTCTCAGATATAAATCACAAAGCGCTGTACAACATGATAAAGATCAGAGCAAATACCTCTAACCAATAAAAACATCAGAAAAACAATAGCAGTGATAAATGTAGAAAATAAAATCAGGAGTATAAACAAAGTGAAGGTGTGAACCCGAACAAAGCCATCTTTTTGAAACATTTAGGGAGGGAACGACTGGATGAAAAGGTGAGTTTTTAGATGATTTTTAAAGACCTCTACAGTGTTAGAAAGTCTATTTCATTATTTTTTTATTTGCATCTTCGCATTTGTTCAGCTTCACTACTAATTAAGAGATAATGGTTAAATAATCAGTAAAATAAAGCAAACTATCCGTTCAAAAGGTCAATTTTAGCCAGTCAATAATGCAGCAAATCATAGTGGAGGCATGCTTTCCTTCTCCCACCCTGTAAATTCAGGTTCAGTTTCCATAGCAACGGTGTTCTCCAAACCTCCTCCTCACCCCCTCAACCCCCCTGGCTACTGTGCAGTGCAGGCAGAGCAGTGATGGAGAATACTGTGAAGCAGCGTGGCACATTAACCTAGTTTGAGCCCGTCAGAAAGTGACCCGGATGAAGAACGGCCGAGAGAGAGGAGGAGCAGGTAAGAGGTGGGAATGACAGGAGAAGAGAGCATCCAAAGGGCAAAATGAGCCAAGGACTCTTTAGATCGAGGGTGGGGACGACCAACGGTGGGATGGCGTAAATCAACGTACAGAAAACGTCAACTGTGTGTGAGATGGTCTCTGTGATCACAGATGGTTTTAAAAACAAACTCAAATGTATAACCGTGGGCTGTCCTTAATACTCACCCCGACTGAACAACATAAAAGGCTAAGATTCAATCATATTTGTAAATCGGTTGAAAAGCATATCTGATTAAATCTATTGATTCCATCTGTTTCCATTCTGCCTGGTCTTTCCTGTTCGTGTTCATCCAGCTATGTCCTTGTGGTCCTGATGAGAGTGAAACCACTAAGTGCATCACTTTCCTCTCTTACAGTTTCTCTCTTAATGACAAGCTATCTCTCAGTACATTTTTTTCAAAGCTACACTTATATTTAAACATTCAAATGGACCCATCACCAATGGTGGAGAGACACAAAGAGGAAGATCACAAAAGGAGGGAAGGCTCCTGATGACTCACCGACATGAGCGATGACACACTCCACTCGCTGTAGAAGCTCCTGAACCGACATCTCGTCCTCCCTCAGCCAGCACAGCATCTCAGGGTGTGTGTAGCATCCACTCTTCTCCACTCCTGGTCCCTCTGCAGCCACGCCTCCTGTCGTCATCTATCGCCTCCACCTCCCCTCCCTTGGCTGGCTAATCTAATTTCCTCCCGACAGATTTTCTTCTCTATTTCTTTTGTTGGCTTCTTCTAAAATATTGTTTTTCAATTGTATCTTCCTGAAAAAAAGTCCTTTCAATTACACTTTCACCAATTCTCAGCCATAAAATAGCCAGTGAACAATAGCAATGATGCCACACCTAGCTGGCTAACAAAACAGTGAGTCGGGGCAATTAATGGTCTAGCTAAATTACAGTAAGAAATAAAAATATGAGGAGGAAATTTTAAAAAGGGAAAGAGGACAGGACTGTGTGAAAGAAAAATTCATTAATTAGTTAGTAACTCAGGAATCACACACTACAGCTAGTCATCTGAGAACAAAAGCAACGATTTATCATGCTGTCAGTCATCAGACTACAGACTTTATGGGCAAAAGACGTTAAAAGAACAAAAACATATAAGCATATCTAACCCAGAGCACGGCCATCCAAATGGTTCATTCCATATGTTTGCGTCATGTCCCACTTGTCCAAAAAACATAATAATCCTCAAAAAGTAGATTCAAGAAATCTCATAAAGTAAAATTAAACAAGTGCTCATCAGGAGAAGGGAGGTAACTGGGGTTTTCCTGGACTCTTCAGGCTTGATGGGAGAGAAAACACTGCTGCTCCTGCTGCTTTCATGATGCTGTTTGCTGTGATGATGAAGCAGAGTTACACAGCGGAAGGATGAATCAGATGGCTGCTACTGCACCTGCCTGCAGGGACAAAGGGGGAGGGGGGTTAACAGGGCTGAACCAGTCGGTGTGAAAAATCCTGGTGCCTGGAGCCCATCAGCCCATGGACTGAGCAGCACCAAACAGACAGCAACAATGGCTTCGTCAAAACTCAGTGGGGATGATCAAACCATGTTTAAATGTATGCTACAAAGCAAACCTTTTTTTAGGATCTCTTTTCAGCATTTCACTGCTGATTCTGGGCCATGACTGGTCACCTAAGCCTTTAAACCATGTTTTCATTCAGTGCATCTGAAGGCCCTCTCCTGGTCCTGCTCCATGTTTTCACAAGTGCAAAACTAGAGGAGGGCCCGAGCATCTCTCAGGGCCACATCCTCCTGGGACTGATGAGAGTGCAGCAATTAGCCTGAGACATCTGCTCTCATCACTTATTCTGGGTTAGCTGGGCCCACAATAATATCCAGCATCAGAACTACTGCAGCTGCCACACATTATCCCAGGAAAGGCTTCATTTGAACTCATCCATTAGCACAACAAAGGGCTGATTTCATACATGAAAATTAATGTGTTGCTGTGTAAACCCTTTGTCATCTTTAAACAACAAATATAGTGCAAAAAACAGAAATATGAGTTGATATAATGAGAGAAAAGAAAAGAGACGCGGGAAATAAACAGGTAAATAGACGAGATTTTTTATAAACGTTTTTAACTATAAGGAAACAACAAAATTCCATTAGCAATACAAAAAACGCACATATTTTTAATCAAGTCGCACCTCCAACAAGTTATTAAAATAGAAAAGAGCAGAACCTTAGTGTGTCAGATATATTAATTAATTTTACGGAGAGGGGAAAAAAAAGGAAAAGAAGGGAACACAATAAAATCACGAAAAAAAATAATCCTAACAAACCTCAAGGAGGAGCTATTTTTCTTTTCTTGTCAAAACGAGGAAAAAGAAATTCAAGAAAAGTAGGCTGACCCACGAACGTATGAAGCCTAGTAGCAACGGGACTCTTCAACAATTTCAAAGATTTTTATATAAATACACGAGAAAGGAGTCCCGAGGAGGCGGAAGTGTGGAACATCCACAGCATCTGATTGGATGATGTTGATGTCGTCAGCGGAAGTCCGGTTCACCTCGCGCCAGGGCGGGAAGAGAAGCTCTTGTTGTGTTAGCAAACGAGCAGAAGATTCCGTCCAAACTAGCTGTTTCCTGAAGCTAAAGTAGCATTGAGTCTTGTTAGACATTCTCACGTTGGCAGCGAAATCATCTGGTAAAAGCTGGTCTCTATGAGACTTTTGTTTACATCCAGGAATTGTGTCTTATTAGCTGGCTAACCTGCGTCATGTTTTATTCCGCGACTAAACTGAGAGGTTTGACGACTGTTGTGGTAAATGTATGCAGAAACGTACTTCGTCTTTTCACGTGGAGTCACGGTGGAGCAGCCATCAGTAAAAGCATATATTTTGTAACTGTTTGCATCACCACGCATGCTTCGCTTCTTGGTTTTGCTCCTCTGATAGATGAGCATCGCTGACTAATTCGTTTAATAAATCATAATAAGTCATGTCAACCGCTCAGGAATAAATATTATTTATTCTAATGAATATCTGTGTAAAACCAACAAAATGTTTCACCTTTATAATCAAGACATTTTTATACCGTTTCATTCTTCCCTCGTGATATGGATTCTCAAAAACAAATGGATGACTACATATAATCCACAGCTTCTTATTCATTTTATGTTATTACATTTTTAAACATCCTTTTCAATGGAGTCGCCATGAAGAGGCAGCAAAAGTTAGTTACACAATTATTCCTTTACACAGTTAAAATTATATAAAAATATTAATTGCATTGTAATTTTTTCTTCCCTTTTAAAGTGCAGAAAGGAAAGGACAAGCTGTATATTCTGTACAGAAAATAAACTCAAGTACTCAGTCTTCATCAGAACTATGCAGCGCTCACAAGTTAAACTGACCACCACATCTTAGTTTAATATCAAGTCCTTTTGAGAAGGTAGATCTGTCTTCATTCATGGGAAAGAATAAAACTGAGTTCACGCAGGCAGCCCCGCCTATTTTAATTATTCTGGTGCAGAGTCCATAGCCTGACCACCTTATATACAACATGGACATATATGCATAGCCAAATCCTCTTGTTACAGCTATGGTGTGTTTAGATTTCTAGGCTAGAATCTTCATGGAGTTGTTACAAACATTCAAAACTTCTAATAATCACTTTTAAAATTGCTGACATGACTTGAACTTCAGTACCCATGACTGGCGCATTATTTAAACAATAACACATTTTATTTATTTTCTCACAAATTATTTGTGTGTGTTGAGTACTCATATTTGTGCACTTCTGGTCTCTCAGATTTTCTGAAACTCCGGAAGAGTCATGCAGACCTTTTTCAACAGAGCAAGTGTCCAGACGAGCAGACCTCAGAAAGACAAGGCAGCAGAGAAGAGCGCTAAGGCTGTCCCCTGGGTGGAAAAATAGTAAGTAATAGTAAGTGTAAATCAAAAAGGTGAATCTGTTTTACTGGAACACTGAGCTGCTGATGGTTCTGGATTGGACTGGGCGATATGACCTCAAATCAATTTCATGAAATATTGAGGATTTCACCTACATAATAATTAAGGCTGCACAATATATCGTAAATATATTGTTATCGCGATATCAGCATGCACAATATGCATATCGCAAAGAACAGATAAATATCGTAATGAATGGTCAGCTCAAATGTTTGCTACACATTATGCATTCTGTCAATCAAATGAAAGAATTAGGTTTTTTTAACAAATCAAATAGAGCTCTTCACCCATTTGTCCAATTGGGTGGGTTGTCATAGGTTAGAGTCCCGCCCCCAAGGCGAACGGCCCTTAATTTTGATGGTTAGCAAACACCTGAGTTAGCTTAGTTCTGCTCTTTCTGCTGATTCTGCTTTTCCCGGGATCCACTGATTGCTTTTCCTTGTTTATTTTCTTTTCCCCTTTCTTTTTCACATTTTTTTGCTTATCTCATTTGTTTAACTTTCTTTTATTTCTTTGTTTTTAGTTCCTGAGTTAAGTTTTTATTATCGCAAGTAATGTCGTCATCGCAATATTAATCACTGTTATCGAATATCGCAGGTTTTCCTAATATCGTGCAGCCCTAATAATAATGATAAATGGACGATAACTACAGGTATGCGCAGAAACAAATGTTGTCCATTAGATGGGGCTGTCACATGTATTAGTTGAGTCACATTTTTGTCTGACTCAAGGTGGTACTGCTTCTTAACTCATTCACTGCCACTGACGACTAAAGTCGTCATTTTAGATTTAGACTGCTTTAACATTTAGCAGTGCTATAAATACTCACTGCTTTTCCTCCTTGGGAGCCTTTTTTCCTCAAAAATCAAAACGGTTAAATTATTACAGCTGGAAAGAAATATTAATCTTTGCCAAAAATTCTTATTGGAGGGATTTGTTTAAAATGTGTTGCACTTTTAGATCTTACCTCATTCACTGCCATTGACAACTAAAGTCGTCATTTACATTTTTTTTTTTTTACTGTTTGGGCATCGGAACGAGCCCCCGCGCCGAGAGAACAAACATCTCAGCTCTAAAGCCGATCCTCATCCGCATACATCACACGTCACATGATCAGGAAGCAGAAAATCCATGTGTTAGGAGATCCTTTTGGGCCGTTCCGGTAAAAAAAAAAAAGTGAGGCGCGAACCAGAAAAGCTTCTGCCGATCACAATTCAACAACGGATTATGAAAGAACAGATAACGCTCGAAACACGCAGATTCTTCCTGATGTAAGAGGTGAGTCTACTCTTTGTTTTGGTTGTTTTGGCGTCGACATCATCCTTACGTGCAACGTTCTGTGACTCTTAAAAAACAGTAAAAACGGTGAGAAACGCTGGCAGCAAATGAGTTAAAGGGGCATAAACATCACCAACCCACACATATCTTTTCATTTTTTTTAAATTATCAAATTTGTTGACATGGGAAAATGTATCTCTAAGAGTCAGACATTTTGATAACAATACATTTTCTATTTATTGCCCAGCCCTAGTTCTGGATCTGTGCTAGCCTCCAGATCTCCTGTTCTAAACGGATGAAGAGACATCAAACATGTCACAACTACACGTGATTTTGTTTTCCATCTAAAGAATTATGTAGGTCTCCATTTGTTTGAGGTTTTAGAAATCAGACACTTCTATCAGAAACCACTGACTCTAAAAAAACAAGAGTTTCTGAACAGCTGTTGTAGGAGGCTAACTCTCTACTCATATTCCTTTTATCGCTATACAGTTCTTCATTTAGTCAGATATTTTAAGATGATCTGAAAAATACTATCTGAGCTATGAGAGGGAAAATGACCATCAATAGTTAAAGCATTGAGGCATTTCTGTTTACATTTACCAGTAATTTTTCATTCTCCTCAAAGATTTTTGTTTATTTAACGAACAACTTACTAGGTTTAATTTTTGTATTTTTTCTTTTTACTCCAGCAGACCAAAGTGCGTTGATGAGGTGGCATTCCAGGAGGAGGTTGTTGCAGTGCTGAAGAAGTCTTTAGAGGGAGCAGACGTACGTTTCTGTCATTTATTTTTTATGTTATGATCACTTGCTCTCTGAAACTATTAATCCCAGACAAACTAGTGCAGCTAGAATATCCAACATGCTTTTTTTCTGCAACAACATTGTTTTCATATTTCTATGAGCAGTCTGACAGACAGCAGAGCGCTGCTCACAACAGGTGACAGCAGCCGGTACCGGTCGCTCGTGTACGTCAAAGTTATCTTTCATAAGATGATAATCAATAAAATGATTTATATAAAGTGGATCCAGAAGTTGTAGCCCATCTCTGCCTACAATATTTTGATATTTTTCACCCTGTTGGTGGTTTTACTGAGCAGGTGCCACTTTTGTCATACGTTTCTATTTAAAACATGTTTAGACTGTTCAGAATACAAATCCAGGCTCTGTCACGTTTGATTGTTGTAATTAAACTTTGTAGGTGGGGAAGGTCAGAAAAGGATCCGATCATTTTGTTTTTCCCTCATTTACAGTGACGGAGATAACGGCGCAGTGCGCCTGGCTCTGGTGTTAATCAAGTTAAATCATATCTCTTTGCAACTATTTTCACAAGAAAACACAACAGTTAAAAGCAGGGCTTGTGTTGACCGGATAGTTCCCGTGTTTGACCGTTTATTTTGACGGGAAAAGAATAGAAAGAATTACCCCGACGCATGCAGACGAACTGACACTTTATTAGTTTCGCAAATCGCAGATGTAGCTAAATCACTCAAGAAAAGATTCCCATCTGAACATCTGAGCTGTACACTGCTCAGCGCAGGTCGCTGTCAGCGCGTACATAAGGTGCACAGCGAGCTGAAGATGTGGAGAGGGGCTTGGAGCGCGTCGCAGAACCAGAGCGCATGCAGGAAGATTCCTCCGACTGAAGCGAGAGTTTTCCAAACCCTGTCTCTCAGAGAGACTTGTCACTTAGAAAATGTTCCCTGATTATGAAACTTTGGCCGAATAGCGCTTGTTCCTGTCTCCAAAGTGGCGACGCATCCAGGAGCCTGTCTGAGGAGAAGCCCAGAATCTCACATCCTCTTCAGCTCAGAAAGTGCCTATATGATTACGCACAAGCGTGACCCGTCAACCCGGTCTCACAGTAAGACCGGGTTGGAACTGTTCAGGTTTACGGAGACAATCTTTACATTTAGAATTGGCATACAGATGTAAAATTAATTCAGTAAAATATAAAGCATTTTATTTAAATATCCATTCATTATTTTACAAGCACAGAGAGCCGCCTCAGATGGATGGAAGAGCCGCGGATTGCCAACCCCTGAGCTAGGGCATGTGCGGAGGACACACGCACGCACGCACACACACACACACACACACACACACACAAGCAAAATATACTTGTTTTCAATTATATTTATTGTGCCCACTTACTTTTTCTTAGGCCCACCCACAAATGAGTTTCTGGCTACGCTAATGGTGACTTTTGACAGACTTCTCTGAGCTCTGCAGCCATTACACTTTTCACCTCGCGCACCCCCTAGCGGCACCACACTTTGGGAATCCCTGATTTAGGTTATGAGATCCATAATGGGTCTAAATATTAGCTTTTAATGTCTATGAGCAGCTTTAGAGTCAAATATTTATGCCGTAGTTCAAGGGTGTAAGAAATAATAATTTTGTCGTGAAACAAGAATAAAGTGTCACATGCATCATGAAACCGGCATGAACATATTTTGTCATATTAGTAAAACACATTTGATGGAGCTTCAGCTACTTTATAATAATTTTGCACTGCCCTTATGCCTGGGTATCACCTCACCTCTGTTGTTATTTCAGCTCCCGAACCTGCTCTTCTACGGTCCTCCTGGAACAGGAAAGACGTCCACCATCTTGGCTGCTGCCAGAGAACTTTATGGGTGGGTGATGTATTTATTGTTGTTGTGGAAGGAGCTCTGTCATCCCAGAAGGTTCTCAGTACACCAGCTTTCATCTTAAACAGATCATTTTGACTTTCAGCCCAGAGCTGTACCGACAGAGGGTTCTGGAGCTCAACGCCTCGGACGAGCGAGGTATCCAGGTCATCAGAGAAAAGGTCAAGAACTTTGCTCATCTCACTGTGTCTGGGAGCCGATCAGAGTGAGTCACCACCATCGCAAATCACAGATGAATTCACCTGCTTCATATTCGGCATCGGAGTTAGTTTTTTTTTTATCTGATCTGAAAAAGACCCGAAGGAACGTAGCTTGCAGCTTTTCATGTCGGGTCTCTTTTGGTGAGTTGCTGCAGAATACCTTAAAGTAATGTGGTAGCATGACGCAGACTTCTGAAACAATGACCTATATGGTAAAGATGTTTACCCATAATTATGATGGGTACCGAATTCAGTACTTTTTAAGGTACCAACTGAATTCCATAGTACCGACCGAGCACTGATTCACGTCATTTCAAACGGTGCCTCGTTTCGGTGCCCGTCCTTCATAACGAGAACTTGCCAAGACAGCTGCGCATGCGCAAGAGCGTTATGTCGTCGCTCGCTGCGAGCAAGTTGTAAACAGAGCAGCATGGTAGAAAGAACGAACGCTAAAGCTTGGGTCCACTTCACTAAATGTGATGGGTAACTGGGTGATGATGAAACCAGCGACAACGATCTAAGTGAGACATCCTCATCTTAATCTGCTCCAGTAGGTAAATAAAATGTAAGATAACGTTAGCTTGATTTGTTAGCTTCCTATGCCACCGTTATCATCTAATGGTGCGTTCGCTTTCTCCTCGGAAATTCTAACTTCCCAGTAGGAAAAATCAAATGAAAAAGACGGCAAAAGGAATGAAGATACACAGTAAATTTAGTTCACAGTAAAGATGTTTGCTTCAGTTTAATTATCAGCTTATAAAACTACAAGGACGATGTTAAAATACAAACAGTTGAATGTTATTTATCGTGATATTTATCAAACATGGTTATAAATTGAGAAAAATGTATATTTAATTATAAAAGAGAATTAAAATATTAAACACTCAAAAGTATCGAAAAATGGTACCGTTAAGTACCGGTATCGATTCGTTGGTACCGGGAATTAGTACCGAATCGATTCAAATGTCAAAGGTACCCATCCCTGCCCATAATGCACAGGTGCATTTATGGAGAAAACTGCTCATACCAGCATGGTAGCAGAGGGCTGATGGTATGGGCTAGTTGATTGTATTTTTAAACCATGACTTAATTGTGATTATTACATAAAGTACAGGTGTTGCTCTTCATTTTAATAAGGTTAGATTTAGTCTGATGCCAAACCCTGAAACACATTTTCTTGTATTTAAGTGGGAAGCCATGTCCTCCTTTCAAGATCATCATCCTGGATGAGGCTGACTCCATGACTGCTCCAGCTCAGGCTGCTCTCAGACGGACCATGGAGAAGGAGTCTCGCACCACTCGCTTCTGCCTCATCTGTAACTATATAAGCAGGTCCGCAGACTCCCAGCAGGCTCGGCTACGCTCTCTGTTTGACCCTGGTAATGATGTGTGTATGTTTTTTTTAGGATTATTGAACCTCTCACCTCCAGATGTTCCAAGTTTCGTTTTAAACCACTGGCCAATCAGATCCAAGAGAAGCGCCTACTGGAGATTTGTGAAAAAGAGAATCTCAAGTACACCAGCGAGGTAGAGGTGACAGTGTGGGTCTTTCACTCATTCACTGCCAGCCGTTTCCTGATCGCTAACGGCCTTCGCTGCCAGCGTTTCTCACCGTTTTTACAGTTTTTTTAAGAGTCACAGAACGTTGCGCGCTAGCATGATGTCGATGCCAAAACAACCAAAACAAAGCGGAGACTCACCTCTTACATCAGGAAGAAGCCGCGTGTTTCGAGCGTTATCCGTTCTTTCATAATCCGTTGTCGAATTGTGATCGGCAGACGCTTTTCCGGTTCGCGCCTCACTTTTTTTACAGGAACGGCCCAAAACGATCTCCAAACACATGGATGGTCTGCTTCCTGATCATGTGACGTGTGACGTATGTGGATGAAGATCGGCTTCAGGGCTGAGATGTTTGTTCTCTCAGCGCGGGGGCTCGTTCCGATGCTCAAACAGTAAAAAAATGGCAGTGAATGAGTTAAGAATCCATTAGTGGAGTTGGTCAAATTTAGTGGATTTTTGTTTGTCCACGGCTCAGTGCGCATCTTCTCACTTAAGCTTTTTGGTTTCTCTCAGAGTATAAAAGCTTTGGTGCAGTTATCTGAAGGAGACCTCCGGAAGGCCATCACCTTTCTCCAGAGTGCTGCACGTCTCAGCGCCAACAAGGAAATCACCGATGGTGCCATCACTGAGATTGCAGGGGTCGGTTCCAGCACTTTGTATTTCAGTAGATTAGAAGCACCAATAATGAGCCTTTCCATTAAGGATAATTTAAATGTCTTTTGCATTGAGAGCACAAACTAGTGTTGTGTGTTCACATGACCCTATCTGCTCTTCCACAGGTCGTCCCGTCCAAGATGATCGACAACTTGATCCAGATTTGTTTAAAGGGAACATTTGAGAGGTTGGAAGTTGCCGTCAGGGTAAACGTTTTTGTTTTTCCTTCGTATTTGTGATGGATGAGTTTGTTTGTTGCTGAGCTACAGTGGTGAGTGATGTGCTTGCTCTGCCTCTTGTGTCTAATGTCTCCTCACTAACAGAACATGGTGGATGAAGGCTATGCAGCCACACAGATCCTGAACCAGCTCCATGAAGCCATCTTGGAGCAGGACATTAATGACAAGCAAAAGTCGGCTATCATGGAGAAGATGGCGGTAGGTATTTTAATGTCAGCAGATGGCAGGATTGAAAACATTTAGACACCTTAGCACCTTAGGGCGCCTGTGGTGGATTCGTAGCTGGACATTTGCAGAAGCCCTCTATTACAGCAGTCCTCCTAAAGCCGGGCGGACACTGTGCGACTTTTTCACTCGTAGCTCTCAGCTTCAGCTCAAACTGTACGACTTCCTCGCAGGGCAGATCTCACGAGTCATGTGCTCACACTGCACGACCCAGGTCTCGCATGCGACCTGACTGCTCACACTGTACGTCTGGTAGCAACACGTCGGCCCTAAAAATATGCTAAAAATAGCAGTTTTTACTCAACACGCTAGACTTTTTTGTCTTGTTTTGCCTGTTGTCCTTCGGGAGTGCTGCAGGAGGACACACAGGGATTTATGGGGATTGGATGAGGAAACAAAATAAAGAAAGTAAATCTGTGTTTTGTGATCAGTTTAATTTGACACGAACACGACAAACACGCTTTCTTGACAATCTTTGTGAGTGAATTACGTCTAGAAATGAAAACGAACAGCGTGTGTTATTAGGGAAATAGCGGGCGAGCAGTGTTGATGGATGATTGCGCATGCGCCGTGAGCGGTTCTGATACTTTTTGGGTCGCAGCGCCGCTTCAACAGTGCGATACCCTCACGAGGGACGAGCGAAATATTAAACACGCCAGAAGTTTGTGCGAGCTCACGATTGCTGATCGGCAGCTGGTCACGTGGTGTTAATTGCCTCTCGTAACCCCCTGTACACTACACGACGCTCGGCGCAAAACTCGCCCCGATCTCGTGGATTCTCGCACGAGTGGAATATCGGCTCAAAAAAGTGAAAAAGCCGCACAGTGTCCGCCCGGCTTAAGCCTGTGTGTGCTCTCTTCCAGGTCGTAGGGAAGTGCCTGGCAGATGGAGCAGACGAGTACCTGCAGTTGTTGAGTCTGTGTTCAGTCATCATGCAGCAGGCTTCTCAAAGCTAAAGCCCCCCCACCCCCGCCTGAACCAGCATCTGCCTTTCTAGGATGTTGTTGATAGTTACCATCTACCACCCCCACCTCCCTCATAGAAGTCTTGCCTGAGAAAACATCATATTGTTGAACTATTTGTGTATTTTTTCTAAGTAATAAATGGATTTTGTAATCTTTTGTGTGTTTGTGGTGTTAGTTTCTTGGTTTTCAAACATCAGGAGATGTTTCCTTCATCCGCCTGTGAGGGGAAAAGCTGGAGAAAGAGTCTTCTAAACCAATCTAAACTTTTTTTTTTTGTGTTGAGACGCAAACATTTATGCCTGAATGGAAACAGGCGTACACTTGCCTCTGACGTGCTCAGGACGGTCTCCTCTTTATGAGTCATGCTTTGGTTTGAGTCGGAACCCTTATAAGCTCTTTGGTGCATAAACTACTGAGAACTCACTGCTGCCAAACGTATTTTACTACCCAGTATCGGATCTCATTTCATCTCTGAAAAAGTGCCTCAGTGCTGAAAAGAGTGGAAAGAATAAACAGAACAGAAAATGAGCTCAGCTATTTAGTCGATCTTATTTCTCGGCCACAGCAGTTTCACCTTCTAGTAATGGTGGGTATTCATGGACCTTCAGATTTAACACTTCAACCAGTTCCTGTTGACTCTGCCTCTGATGGATGGATGCATGTGATGTCCAGCCCTGCAGGCAGCATGGTCATCCCCTCTGACCTCAGTCTGGATGTGACCATGCTTCTCCACAAATACAGGGAGTGCAGAATTATCAGGCAAATGAGTATTTTGTCCACATCATCGTCTTCATGCATGCTGTCTTACTCCAAGCTGTACAGGCTTGAAAGCCTACTACCATTTAAGCATATTAGGTGATGTGCATCTCTGTAATGAGAAGGGGTGTGGTCTAATGACATCAACACCCTATATCAGGTGTGCATAATTATTAAGCAACTTCCTTTCCTTTGGCAAAATGGGTCAAAAGAAGGGCTTGACAGGCTCCGAAAGGTCAAAAATAGAGATCTTGCAGAGGGATGCAGCAGTCTTAAAATGGCAAAGCTTCTGAAGCGTGATCATCGAACAATCAAGTGTCTCATTCAAAATAGTCAAGAAGCGTGTGGACAAACTAAGGTGCAAAATAACTGCCCATGAACAGAGAAAAGTCAAGCGTGCAGCTGCCAAGATGCCACTTGCCACCAGTTTGGCCATATTTCAGAGCTGCAACATCACTGGAGTGCCCAAAAGCACAAGGTGTGCAATACTCAGAGACATGGCCAAGGTAAGAAAGGCTGAAAGACGACCACCACTGAACAAGACACACAAGCTGAAACGTCAAGACCGGGCCAAGAAATATCTCAAGACTGATTTTTCTAAGGTTTTGTGAACTGATGAAATGAGAGTGAGTCTTGATGGGCCAGATGGATGGGCCCGTGGCTGGATTGGTAAAGGGCAGAGAGCTCCAGTCCGACTCAGACGCCAGCAAGGTGGAGGTGTAGTACTGGTTTGGGCTGGTATCATCAAAGATGAGCTTGTGGGGCCTTTTCGGGTTGAGGATGGAGTCAAGCTCAACTCCCAGTCCTACTGCCAGTTTCTGGAAGACACCTTCTTCAAGCAGAGGTACAGGAAGAAGTCTGCATCCTTCAAGAAAAACATGATTTTCATGCAGGACAATGCTCCATCACACGCGTCCAAGTACTCCACAGCGTGGCTGGCAAGAAAGGGTATAAAAGAAGAAAAACTAATGACATGGCCTCCTCGTTCACCTGATCTGAACCCCATTGAGAATCTGTGGTCCATCATCAAATGTGAGATTTACAAGGAGGGAAAACAGTACACCTCTCTGAACAGTGTCTGGGAGGCTGTGGTTGCGGATGCGCACAAAGTTGATGGTGAACAGATCAAAACACTGACAGAATCCATGGATGGCAGGCTTTTGAGTGTCCTTGCAAAGAAAGGTGGCTATATTGGTCGCTGATTTGTTTTTGAATGTCAGAAATGTATATTTGGGAATGTGGAGATGTTATATTGGTTTCACCGGTAAAAATAAATAATTGAAATGGGTATATATTTGTTTTTTGTTAAGTTGCCTAATAATTATTTACAGTAATAGTCACCTGCACACACAGATATCCCCCTAAAATAGCTAAAACTAAAAACTACTTCCAAAAACATTCAGCTTTGCTATTAATGAGTTTTTTGGGTTCATTGAGAACGTGGTGGTTGTTCAATAATAAAATTATTCCTCAAAAATTCAACTTGCCTAACAATTCTGCACTCCCTGTAGATAAAATATCCTCTATCTACTCACTGTAACTCACTTTTCAGCCACTTGATGTCATAATAACCCTTCAGATTGTTTTTCTGGTGTTTGCATGGTTTCTCACTAAGATAAAGTCACAAGCAAACTAATGTTTTGTATTTAAAATCATATTTGACAAGTATTTCACACAAGCCAACCAGCTAAAGATATCAAAGTGTTATTAGTTGGGCTTTTTTTGGGGTTTTTAAACATCTGTTTTAAGATTTCAAGAATAAAAATGTCAGAGAAGAATAATTCTGTGCTTTAGCTGCAGGTTCTTGTTTTGTGGAGTGCAGCAGGGGAACCTAGCAGCATTGTACTGTAAGACAGCTGGTCAGCAGATGTTGAGAAAGTTGAGCAGGCTTTACATTTTAAAGGGTATGAAGTCCTGGTGGAGGATGTGTGTGGACCAGGTGAGTTCTGAATGAGAAGAAAGCCCGATCTGTCCCCTCTATACTTCTATGTTTGTACAATGTGTCCAATGTGCTGTAGCTTTCTCTAGTCACGTCTGTGTCTATGTTTACATCAACCAGCCAATAGAGAAGCATGGCGGGCAAACAGTCTACTCAGCACAGCGAGGCTGGCAGTGTGGGAAATGGTGGACTCGGCAAGCCAAGCAGTTGCTTTCTGAGCCCAGACGACGTTATCCTTCTCAGAAGAGGAGCAACCATAAAAGAGAGCAAGTGTAGGTGAAGCCTGCAGCAGATAGACCAAATAAAACGTGATGAAATGCATTTCTCTTTTTTTTCTCGTTTATTTCATTCAAAAAAAAAAATAAAAACATATAAACAATAAGATATACATAACAAAAAAATTAATTTGAACGAAAAGGAGCAGAATGAAGAAAAACGTCGTAAAATTTCTGCCCCCTTTTCCAGAAGAAATAATTATTTATTTACAATTTCCATTTGTCAGACACACATAAAGATTCATTTTAAACTTTTTCCTGTTCTAAATTCCAGTGTGATCATGATCATTGATTTACATTTTCATAATTATTTAGTACACTCAATTTGGTACATTTTTTTAATATATTAAATGACAGTTTTTTTTATTTCCCTTTTAAGGTTATTCCATAATTTAACACCATTTACAGATATATTCCATTCCTTAATTTTAGTTCTAAATCTAGGTTTTGTAAACACATCAGTTTCTTTCTGCATGTAATTACTAGTTCTCTTTTCAAATATCCCCTGAATGTTTGTTGGCAGCAGTAGCTCAACAGGTTGAGCGGGTTGTCCAATCATTGGAAGGTTGCAGGTTCGATCCCGGCTCCAGACAGAGAATTCTGCTGTTGTGTCCTTGTGCTCGGCAGCCTTGCCTCTATCAGTGCACTCCAGGGCAGCTGTGGCTACATTGTAGCTCATCACCACCAGTGTGTGAATGTGTGTGTGAATGGATGAATGATAAACTGTAGTGTAAAGCACTTTGGAGTCCTTACTCTGAGAGGCGCTATACACGTGCGGGTCATTTACCATTTACCTGGAGCAGATCCGGTACCTTTTATGTCTGAATTCTTCTTCTACTGTCTCAAATAAACTAACATAGATGGCAAATTTAACAAGCTACAAACATAATACTGCCATTTAATAACATACAAACATACACACACACACATACATATATATATATATATATAATTTATTTATTTTTTTCAAAAACGAAAGATTAAACCCCGCTAAAAGTCAACATCACACGGGCGTGCAGATCATGTCTATTATGTCTGTCAGTCCAGAGCACATCTGTAGGACATCCAAACTAGGTATTTGCACAGTGGGAAGGAACACAACTGAGGTAGAGCACAATGAAGCTGTGTTTTTTTTTCTCTCGTGGGTTTCTCTTGTGTTTTTTTTTTCATGTTTCACTTTCCATTCTCAAAAAATTCCCTTTGTCAAAGGTAAGATGACGAATGCACTTCAAAAAATAATATATATAGATGACCCTGCTCTACCACTCACAGCAATAACAAATCTGCTGTTTGATCATCTTCAGCAACACTTGACAAACCAACTATGTCTGCATCATCAAGGCGTTTATGTTGCTGGCCTTCGTGGCCTGCATCTGCAAAACTCAGAGTAAGTTGATCATTCTGATCTATGGAAGTGTACGGCCTTTTTGGTAATATCGAACTGTCTCTCTGACATATCAAAACGGATGAAATCCCACCATCTCCAACTCAACCTCTCTAAAACTGAACTACTTGTCATCGTTGTCATCTTGTCAGCACAATATCTCAATCCAAAATGACTTCCTATCACTGGCTCCTTCAAAGGCAGTTCGAAATCTGGGTGCTGTGATTGATGAACACCTGACCTTTACCTCTGTTGCTCGTTCATGCCGCTTTGCGCTGTATAACATACGAAAGATCAGACCAAACCTAACACAACATGCCACCCAGCTCCTGGTTTAATGTCATCTCCTGCCTCGATTACTGCGATGCCCTTCTAACTGGTCTTACAGCCTGTACTGTGAGACCTCTTCAAATGGTCCAGAACGCAGCGGCGCATCTGGTCTTCAATCAGCCAAAAAGAGCACACGTCACCCCTCTGTTCATCGAGCTCCACTGGCTACCGCTAGCAGCATGCATCAAATTCAAATTGCTAACACTAGCATACAAAGTCCGAGATGGTACGGCTCCCATCTACCTGAATCCTCTTGCAAAGGCTTACGTCTCGGCCCGGCCGCTCCGGTCATCACAGGATCGTCGGCTAGCAGTGCCTACACCACGCTCAGGACAATCCAGACTCTTCTCATGCATCGTTCCACAAATGTGGAATGACCTACCAAGCACTACCAGAACAGGGGCTTCCTTTTCAATTTTCAAGAAACTCCTGAAGACCCTGCTCTTCAGAGAGCATCTTCTAAACTAGCACCCTCCCTGCACCCGTCCCCCCTCTCTACCGTCCACTCCTTTGTTCCCTCCTCTTCATGACTGATGCCAAGTTGTTGTTATTGTTGTTGTTAGGCTCAAGGGCTTTGGAAAAAAGCGTCTGCTAAATACATAAACATAAACAACATAAACATAACCCAAGAGTGGATTTGTAGGGTCCGAAAATTAAGTGCTTTTGTTTCCTTTCTAGTGAAGGAACAGGACAGAACTTATGTTTGGTGGTGGAACCCCTTGAAAATGAGACGCCACATTTCAAGGAGCATTCCATTAATAATGGAAAAAAGACAGAGCGCTCCATAAATGAAGAAAAATAATGGAGCATCCCATTAATAAAGAAAATTCAAACTGTCTGTGTCAGCAAGTCAAAAGACAGGATGGTCTCAAAATACTTGTTCACCCGATTGGCCTTATCGAGTGAACGGAGAAGACTAACTAGACCAGGAAGTGTTTCCTGTTTTTATCAACTTAGTTTTTAAATTTGGTAAAGCAGAATTTGACACGTTTAAAAGGCGTTACCAAAATACCTCCGAAACCACGCCTTCCCTCAGGTCCTCAGAGCGGTTAACTCTCTGCAGTGGAAATGTTTTTACACTTTTATGTGAAGTGAATGTTAAAACCTTAACATTAATCTGATGATGTATGAGTATACTGATGGATTAACTTGTTAAATCATTACTGATCTGGTATAGTTTAAGATCTGAAATTAATCATAGCAGGAAAAACATTCATTTGAACACATCATTGATTAATGCACAGATTATTCAAACTATTCGGGATTGAAAAAGAGATGATTATATGACACTTATGCAATTATCACGTTTTAAAACGTTATTTATGATTCAAGGAAGTTGAACTTTATTGGGGGGGGAGAGAAAAAGTCTAGTCTCCCCGCCTCCCGCATGACTTTTGTTCCAGCCAAGATGAGGTAGCTAGGAAATATTATGTCTCCTTTATCCAGTGACAAGACCTTGTGCTCGTTCTCTTTCGATCTCTTTCTCGTTCTAATCAAAATATCAGAACTTGCAGCACAAAATCAATAGGAATATTTAAGACTCCTCGGCAGCTGGTTGAGGTTAAAGGTCATGGCTAAGAGGAAGTAGACCTAAATGGTGATGCAATACAGATGCAGCCCAGGCTGTCCTGGGCTAGATTACAGCACCTTCTTGACAAACCTTCATACATAATTTTTTATGTTAGGTTTGAAAATTTCCAGCTACAGATCTAACAACAGAACATGTTTATTTTACTCAGTTAGTCATCACATTTCTCTGTTTATCAGCTCAGCTGTTCTTCTGCAGAAACAAGAGTGCGTTAGACCCTAAATGTCTTTAACCCTTTGATGCATAACGGTCACTACAGTGGACAGGCACTCAAAATTGTTATTTATTTGTTTTTGCTATTAAGCACAGTTGTTGAAGACGTTATTGCATTTGAGCCCCTCCATTTGGACTTCAGTAAGTCAAGCCAACATAGTTCATGTTCAGAACGCACGCTGCCCACTGAGGTGGACATGTAATAAATTATTTGTAAATTAACAAAATTTTACAAAAAATATTTGTTGAAATTTGTTTCATTCACACCCAAAGACCAATGAAAATAATTGTTAAAAAAATCATGGTTGAAGATTTTATAATTCATGCATCAAAGGGTTAAGCCTGGCTCAGGACTCCTGGGAGCTCACTCTGATAACCTTTATCAAATTGCTCATGGATCTATAATCCAGCTCCGGACCTGTTTAATGCAGCGGTGCTCAAACAGGATCGGTGACGTTAACCGATCAGGGCTTACCAGCTGTTCCCTCCCTCCGGTGGTGGGTAAGCACAGTCTGATGGGTGGAGCGGAGTGGGCGGGGATGCCTCAGAAGGGAAGTGAATCCTCTTGGCTTAATGCAGATGAACACAGCATTAGGACGGCAGGGATGCTGAGCTCAAAAGTGCGTTAAACATCACAGAGGGTTGGAAATCTCACATAGACTCTCTTCCTGACCTGGACTTTCATTTGGATGTTTTTTTTTTTCCTGTTTCCTCTTAAATTTGATGACCACTCCTGTGGGTTGGATCAAATACATTTATGGGTTGCTGAGAGGACACGAGACACAAGTGGTTTGCAATGGCCGTGGCTTTGGACGCGATATGGGTGAGGGTGAAGAATGTCTGCAAACAGAACGGGCTCCTCATCCTGTCTGTGCTGGCTGTGGTCATTGGCTGTCTTTTGGGATTCTTTTTGAGGACACGGCGTCTTTCAGACCAGGTCAGTGCGTCTCCTCCCCTTGGTCCAGTGTGACATCACAAGACAACCTCATCTTTGGGCCTCACACACCTGTACTGCATTAGAGTAGTCTTAATCACTGAAACATCAGGTCAGTTCTCAATCTCTCACAATCTAAGACATTATATTAAAGGTGTGGAACACTGAAAATCTAATTTTTTTTTAATTCAGATGTTTCTATGCAGGCTGAACATGTAAATAGTCTCCTACACCTGACTCCTGCATTAGCGTCTGATAGAAAATAGATGGTGAAACTGTAGGATTAGAAAAGCCTGACAGATCTGACACTTAACATTCATGGACTCACCCATTTTGCCTCGCAACGGGAAGGCTGTTGTTGTTGTTTTAGCGTCCAGGGAACAGCAGACAACATCCCAACTAGTAGAAGCTAACTGTTAGCATTAGCAACAGCGCCACACAGAAAAACTCCCCCAAGCTTGTGTTCTTTATGGAGAAAATACATCCATGTCACAGAGCAAACGGAGTCAGTGGTAGGGTCACATTTCTGTTATCCAATCCGAGGTGAGACGTCCAAAAAAAAGGAAATAAGATTCCAAATCCTGCCGGATTCTGCTAGTCTCAGCAAACTTATCCAAGAGTTTCTAGACTTTTTTTGCCCCGAGTAGAGATTGCTACCAGAGACCACTGCGAATGTATTGATTAAACATCGTATTTAAGTAGTACCAGAATAAATTCAGACACATAACATGAACAAATGTCCTGGTTTTAGTTTATAGAAAGAGTCTGAAGAGGCTAGTAAGATAAGCTATAAATAAACCAGATACTTTAAACACTTCAAGCTCAGATTATTTATCTAAAAACAATCAAGGCATTCAGCTTCTTAGATAATTTTATATTACACGTAGCTGTCCTTCTTTTAAAAACATCTCTGATGTTCGTATAATCAAAAATTTGAAAATTGCAAGCCAAGTGTGTGATTATTACCCTTAATGACATGTTCTTTAAACTAAATACATGTGATTTGATATCTGCTGTAAATTGTTCTTGTCCTTTTTCTAGTAATATTTTTCCATTCTGATCTGACATTACCAATATAAGTTATGGTTTATTGTACCTTCATTACTGCACATAACGTGGTGAGTATTTCGCCGTTAGTTAACTAGAATCTTTTACTTTTCCTACATACAGCCTTGAGCATTTCCTATTAGCATTCTTACAAAAAAGTGTTCAGCAATTCTTCAGATTCCTTCTCAAACCGGTCACAGGTTTCAGTTGGCTGATTGGACATCTATTGTTTTATCTTCCATGTTTAATTTTTTAATGTGATGTCTTGTTAGCCTTGCATAATTGCTGTTTGACCTGTGAGGCTGCTGTTTTTAAATGTGCTTGACAAATAAATTAGTATGGTGTGGTAGTAATTGTGGGCATGTAAGACATCACAATAGAACTGTAGACACATTATTGTGTGTGTGTGTGTGTGTGTGTGTGTGTGTGTGTGTGTGTGTGTGTGTGTGTGTGTGTGTGTGTGTGTGTGTGTGTGTGTGTGTGTGCGTGCGTGTGTGTGTGTCTGCTCTGTCTTCTCGATCCCCAGTGAGTCATGGAGGATGGCTGCTTATACTGAGCCAGGATTCTCTGGAGGTTTCTTCCTGTTAAAAGGGAGTTTTCCTCTCCACTGTCGCTGCATGCTTGCTTAGTATGAGGATTGCTGTATAGTTACTGACACTAGTCAGTGACTTGATGCAATTTGCTGGGTTCCTTATATAGGAAACATTATTTCTGATTGGCTTAATGAACTGACCTGAATTGGAATGTTTATTATGTGAAGTGCCTTGAGACGACTTTTGTCGTAATTTGGCGCTATATAAATAAACTTGAATTGAATTGAATTTAATTGAATGTAGAGCTCACCTAAAACCTGACTGTTTAGTTTCTGAGTCAGAACATGCTAGAAATGTGAGACAATTTTGAAAAGTTGGAAACCACGTTGTTAATGAGGGCTTAATTAAATTTGCACATCATCATTTGTTGACAGTTAAGACCATCTTCCCAGTGGCCCAACCAAAAACAAATGTTCTCACTTGAGTACTGAATCAGTTCAGTGTGACTCTATCCCCAACAGCGGTAAGAAGTCTTACCAATAATTTATTTTATTCTTACAAAAGCTTCTGTATAATGTTTTACTCTGTTTCTTTCTGTTTACCAGCTGTGGTTTTTAATATAAAAGTGTGTATTAAAACCACATAAACATAGCAACATTCCCACGCTTACCACCTTCAGAACAATACTCTCAGTATGTCCACAGAGGAGCTCCATAAACTAAATGCAGTTCTTTCTTTTTATCACTCGTGTGGATGAAGCCCAGGCAGTCCTTTTCCCAAATACACCTAAAAATAGTCAATGTCTCCTTTACTCTCACAATAGGGGGATTACAATCTAATCAGACAAATGCTTTCTGTAACTGTACATCAAATAAAAGTGCCCATCAGCGAGACTCTTCCCACAGTACAAAGAAGGGAGACTTTCAGATAGCTTCCCAGGTCCTTGTGGATGGGATGGGATGGTGGGCTTAGAATGAAGTACCAGTAATCTTTGTGTGTGTGTGTGTGTGTGTGTGTGTGTGTGTGTGTGTGTGTGTGTGTGTGTGTGTGTGTGTGTGTGTGTGTGTGCGTGCGTGCGTGTGTGTGTGTGTGTGTGGAGCTGTTGAGGAATATTGGCCAGATCCCGGAGCTCAGAGATGGATTGCACCACGCTGTGAACTCACAGACTCACATAATTGTCGAGATGAATCGTAAGCTTGGAACTTTGGCCGAGATTCATGCATTGGCACAGAAGATGGATGCCATCAAGGATAGAGTGGACGAATCAGCACGGATTGGGATAGTTTAATGTCCATTATTGGGATTTTGAGAGGTTGAGGACCAACAAACTGTAAGACAGAGAGGAAACTATCTCTGTCTGGCCCCAAAACAATTTCTAATCGGAATCTGGCGCCCTTGAGCCTGCAAGGCTCCAACGAAAACTCCCCCCTCAGAAGATGTGTGGAATGTGCCGTCGCTATGGCAACTCAACTCTGTCTCCTATCCCAGCCTGGGCGGGACTGCGGGAAGGCCACTGTAACGTTCCAGGGTCACTGCAACCCTCCAACCCTCAATGCTCCTCCCCCTGTCCACACTGAGGTGACGTGCGCTGCTTCGTGGCTGCAGGAACTGAAGTGGGGTTAGTCCCAACCCACCACCCCACCTAGTGGACACTTATGTTGTGTTGTCTGAAGTCTGTTGCATATATGTTTGAGGTGTATATTTTGCAGAGCAAAGCTTCCCTCCTGGTAGAGGGTAACTCTGAAGTGACTTTTTTCCCTCCACCTGAACCAATCCTTATGTAACCCCTCTTATCTCTATTAAGGTAGCGCGACTCAGGGTTGCGAATGACCACAGTCACCAGTTCTTGTCATGTGTCTTGCCCATGTATGTCTGATCTCTGAACTGTGTGTACTGAAACTTTAATTTCCCTCTGGGATTAATAAAGTATCTTTGATTTGATTTGATGTGTGTGTGTGTGTGTGTGTGTGTGTGTGTGTGTGTGTGTGTGTGTGTGTGTGTGTGTGTGTGTGTGTGTGTGTGTGTGTGAGTGTGTGTAATATTTTTGCATTTTTTACAATAACTTCAATTCAATTCAATTCAAAAATACTTTATTATTCCCAGAGGGAAATTAGAGTTTCAGTACACACAGTTCTGGGATCAGACATACATACATAGACACATCTCAAGAATTGGTGACTGTGGTCCTTTGCAACACGAGTCGTGCTACCATAATAGATCAAGAGGGTTTATATGAGGATAGAGTCGGGGGAGGGGGGGGGGCACTTCAGAGTTACCCCCGACAGAGAGGATAGCTCTTTGCTACGCAAAAAAACACCTCAGACAGATATGCACTCAGACATTACACAACATAGGTGTCCACTAGGTGGGGAGGTAGGGTTGGGACTCTCCTCACTTCAGTGCCTGCAGCCGCATGGAGCAGCGCTTATCACCTACGTTTGGACAGTTGAGGGAGATAATGGGTTAAAGGGCACATTGACTCCTAGGTACGGTTCCACGGCCTTCACCGGTCACAGTCCCGCCCAGGCTGGGATAGGGAGAAAGAGTTTCCATAGCGACGGCAGCATTCCACATTTCTTCTGAGGGGGGAGTTTTCACTTCAGCCTCACAGGCTTCAAGGGCACCAGATTCAGATAAGAATTGTTTTGGGGACAGACAGAGATAATTTCCTCTCTGCCTCAGAGTTCTGTTGGTCTTCAACACCTCTAGATCCAATAATGGCGTAATTAATCAATCCCAGTCTGTGCTGATCCGTCAGCTCCCTCCTTGATGGAATCCGCCTTCTGTGCCAGAGCCTGAATCTCAACCAAAGTTCCAAGTTTATGACTCATCTCGACAATTATATGAGTTTGTGCGTTCACAGCGCGATGCGTTCCATCCCTGAGCTCCGGGATTGAGCCAATATTCCTCGAAAGCTCTTTAATTTTCCGTTAAGCCAGATAACCGCTTAATAAAGCAGCATTTACCTGTTGTCTTTCCTAAATGTCCTGATGGTGCTGCCCATGGAGAACCAGCTCTGGGAATCAGCAGAGTTGCTTTGGCTTTTCATATTTGAAGACAAATAATTTTAGATGTTTATATGAACATTTACACATGATCAAGAGCAACATATAAAACGGGTACGGAAAGAATTCAGACCCCGTCAATTTTTCGATCTTTTTATATTGCGGCTGTTTGCTAAAATGAATTAAATTCAAAATTGTCCTCATTAATGTACACACAGCACCCCATATTGACAGAAAAGCACAGAATGTTTGTTATTTCTGCAGTTATTAAGAAAGACCATTTGAAATATAACATGGTCCTATCCTGTCGATCTGATTCCTTGTCCTGTCTTCCTTTCAGGAGGTGAAGTACTTCCAGTTCCCAGGAGAGCTGCTCATGAGGATGCTGAAGATGCTGATTCTGCCACTTGTAGTGTCGAGGTACCTGTAGTTCATTACAGACCCACCAACTAAACCCATTTCATCAACATGTGACTTGGTTAAATGTTGTGTTTCATGTTGACTGTGTTAATTATTAGTTTAGTTTATTTCAAACAAAGAAAACATACATAATTTTTTTTAAAATACCACAAACAGAAAAAATACACATCATCCCTTCATCTGTGTTTGAAAAGGAGTAGGCTGAAGTGGAAACTTATATATCCCTACCCCTTTATACAAGTAATTTTTACGTTTTTACTAAATCTAACACAAAACCTACATTAAAACAAACAAAATGGTACAAGTTACCAAAAACCACCAAATTATATGAAAAAAAAACAAAAAAAAGAAAAAAAAACATCTTTTTACAATTGATACAATTTACTTTTCCTTGGAATAAAGGACACCCACATAAATCATCTATTTTCCACTATATACTTGTTCAGAATATGTTTTTTATAATTCATTTTAAACACATTTATATTTGTACTTACTTTGATTTCTTCTTCTAAATTGTTCCATAATTTAACCCCTATTATTGTGATACACATCTGTTTTAATGTTGTTCTAAACTTATGTATCTTTAAGTTTAGTGTCCCTCTCAGGTTATATCCTCCTCCTCTCTCTGTGAACAGTTTCTGTATTTTATCAGGCATTAATTTATTTCTTACTTTATACATTATTTGTGCTGTTTTGTATTTAACCAAGTCCTGGAACTTCATTGTCCACGTTTTAATAAAAAGTTCATTTAATCTAATTAAATAGATTAATTACAGAGTCAATCAATCAATCAAGCAATCAATCTAACTATTTATAAAGCACTTTTTATACAAATAATTTAACTCAAAGTGCTTTACAGATTAAAAAGACCCCAATATCCAACAAATGTCATTGACAATTAAAACCCCTGTCCTCCCAACCCAGTGACACACACATGCACACACACACACACACACACACACACATGCTCACACAACACACAGCAGACAATGGCAGCAGCCTGGGCACCAACACAGGGCCCCAGAGGAGGGAGGGCACGGGCCCCCACCTCCCCGAACACTACCCGGAGAGCTCCCAGGCCGCTGCCGCTGAACACCGGCCCTGAGGCAGAGGGCTGGGCTCCCACAGAGGAAACGCTGTAAAGTATTCAAATAAGTAAAATGGTAAATGGTAAATGGTCTGCATTTGATATAGCGCCTTCTAGAGTCCTGGAACCCCCCAAGGCGCTTTACAACACAACCAGTCATTCACCCATTCACACACTGGTGGGGATGAGCTACAATGTAGCCACAGCTGCCCTGGGCTCACTGACAGAGGCGAGGCTACCGAGCACTGGCCCCACCGGTCCCTCCGACCACCACCAGCAGGCAATGTGGGTTAAGTGTCTTGCCCAAGGACACAACGACAGCGACAGACTGAGCGGGGCTCGAACCTGCAACCTTCCGATTGTGGGGTGAGCATTTAACTCCTGTACCACCGTCGCCCCAACAAAAGAACAAAAGAACAAAATTACAAGAGGTAATACAAAGATGAATAAATAGCGATCAATATAAATGTAAAATAGTAAAACAACATAAAAACATAGATGTATAACAAAACTGTCTTAAAATATAAGCAAGTAAATAATAAATAATAATCAGTTAAAAGCTAAGCTAAAAAGGTAAGTCTTAAGCCTGCTCTTGAAAACATGAACATTCTCAACGGCCCTGAGGTCCTTTGGCAGCCTGTTCCAGAGACGGGGGGCCATAATACTGGAAGGACGCCTCACCACGAGTGTACGTCGCCTATTCCTTCAACTGCCACCCAGACCACAAACCCCCGGTCAACTCTGGGATCCACTGCAGGTGGTGGGTGCATGCAGCTTGTTTATCCTATGCCCATAGACCCCACGTGAAAAGCCCCCGCTGCTTGGTGACATGCCTTTCACCCCTGGCCCAGCAATAAATAAGTGCCTGGCTCATTTCTTGAGGAGTTAGTAAAGGTTTCTGAATTCTGGGCCCTTGAGAATATGCCATGGGAGACCCAACCAAGGGTGAAGCCACTCCAAAGAACATATTGTTTATACGAGTAAAAGCTGCTTACTATGTTAAAGTTTATGTACTGTTCAAGTCATTAGTCAAACAGAGGAAACAGTGGCCTTTCACTCAGAAATGAATACCTTTACATTGCCATAAAATACTTCTCCCATTCTTCCTGATAGTCAGTTATTTAAAGCAGTAGAATTATTGCATCTCATAAGCTGGTCATGTGGTTATACCCTTTATCTTACTATGAAGTCTTGAGTGATCGTAGTCTCATTATGATTGTGGTTCATGCATGAATTAATAAACAAGCTTCTTCTGAAAATGCATACACCATTATAAGAGATATTTTTGTAAGCTCTGAGCCCCTTGTTGATATTGGAGCTTCTAAGCTAATAGCAGCCAGAGTGGGGATGAGTTTTTTTTTAATGGACCGTACCTTGAAACGACTCATTCTGGAAGTTACCAAAGGTTCAAAATTTTGATGCATTGAGAATTAAAAGACGCACTTCAGTTTGGAAATTGACCTCTTTGGAAAGGATGTCTTTTGAAACTGATGCTGGAGTGTAGGGATCACCGGTTAACATTCCTACCCGAACACCCTACTTTTTTCTTCCTGCAGTTTGATGTCAGGACTGGCAGCTCTTGATGCCAAGTGTTCCAGTCGACTTGGCCTGATCACGGTGTCATATTATTTGTGGACCACCTTTGTGGCTGTGATAGTGGGGATCATGATGGTCTCCATCATCCACCCAGGTGGTGCTGCACAGAAGGAGGACTCTGAGGACAGCAATAAGGCTATCATGAGCTCTGCAGATGCTCTGCTGGATCTAATCCGGTAAGATCCAAAATTAAGTAAATCGCCAGTGGATCAGCTGAATTATATGGCAAACATAAGACTGTGTATGTATTTTCTCAGTATCTGTTATGGTTCTTAAATCCACGTGTTGTCTGTGTTTTCCTCCTAGAAATATGTTTCCATCAAATCTGGTCCAGGCCACATTTCAGCAGGTAAGACGCTGCAACTTTTAAACATTGTGGGTTTTGGTATCGGTCCATCTCATTGGACGTCTCTGTCCCTCCCCCGGTGTCAGTACCAAACAAGGAGTCAGTACATCGTGAAGCCCAAACCAACTGTGAGTCAGGCCCTATCAGAGTCCACCACAAAGAGGACACTCATTTATGGTGTTCAGGACGATAATGGCTCTGACATCCAGAACTTTGCTCTCGACTTAACTCCACCTCCAGATGTGCTGATACACATTCGTGAAGGGACCAGTGATGGAATGAATGTCCTTGGGATTGTTATTTTTTCTGCCACTATGGGTAACGATCCCCTTCATTGTTTAATGCATCTCTGACCTCAGTACAGTGTTGTTTTGATGGTGTTTGCTTTAACCCACCATTTCAAAAACTGTCTCGTGTTCTGACAGGTATTATGTTAGGAAGGATGGGACCAAATGGAAGCGCCTTGGTGAACTTCTGTCAAAGCCTAAATGAGGCTGTCCTTAGAATTGTTGCCATTGTTATTTGGTAAGATTTTCCATTTACTTGTGAATGTGCAGTAATGTGGCCAAAAAAAAAAGATGTTCATACTTCAGAAAGCCAACGGTTCCTGTGATCATAACAAAATTCGATCAAATTTCTTTTTAAAAGCTTGATTTTGAGTGTTGTGTGTCACACCCTGTCCTGTCTCTCCATTTGGTTCAGCCTGTGTCCCTGTTGATTGCTCCCACCTGCCTCTTGTTTCCCAATCACCCAAGCTCCCAGCCCTCCTGTATTTAAACCCCTCCAGTCCTTTGTCTCTTGTTGCCTCATTGTTCCCATGTCCTGCATGCGTTTGTCATGAAAACCTTTACGTTACCCAGTTTGTCTACCTGCCTGATTCCTCCCCAGCGTGTGGATCCTCACCTCCGTTCCATTCACCGGTGCAGCCTGACATTGTGTGCTGTGCTGCAAATAGAGACTAGAGAGAATCAGAAAGAGAATAATAATAAGAATCAATAAACTTGTATCTTTGGCAAGGCTCCAGATCTTCAGGTGCTTTAAGCTTTTTATTACTATTTTGCTCAACTTTCAATATTTACCCACCCTCCAAAAGCTAGCACCCGCAGAGAGGACGGAGTGGAGTTTGGTTATTTTAAAAATCCAGCTTCAACACATGGAAAGGATTTAAAAAAAAAGGAGAAAGGACACAGAGAAAAACAAAACTAAGGGAAAGTTTTCCTGGACAGAAGAGTATTTTTTGAGAGAGGGGAAGGAGAGAGTTCTTTGCATTGGGAGTGGTTCCCCAGCCTCTTTGGCTGTTTCACCCTTGGGTCTGCCTCCCTTTCAACTTATTCTAATGGGCCATTCCCATCTGTACCGGGTCGGCCCGGGCCGGGTAGCCCCAGTCGGCCCCAGCCTGGCCCGGTTGATTCCACACATCCTTGCCTTAAGCCCATGTGGGCTGATTCTACCCACCAATCAGAGGCTTGCTCTAATGGAAGGTGTGAATTTGCTGTCAGCAGTGGGTGTGTTGGCCCTGGTCGGCCTGAAGCAGACCCCCTCCAGAAGAGGGCTGAGAATGAGCCTTGGTTGGCCCGGAAAAATACCAGGCCACCCAGATATGTAAACAACCTACGTTACCCGGCCCGGGCCGACCCGGTACAGATGGGAATGGCCCATTAGTCTCCTCTTATCACACCTCGTTTACCGTACCCATGAACTTCTCCGTCAGTCTCTTGCTCCTCTACACACGTCCAAACCTTTCCAAGCGTGTCTTCAGGTCTGTCTCCACCTCAGCTGGCCCTTGGTATACTAACTTCAAATTTTACCTTCCTTAATTGTTACCATTGAAAATTTTAACATCTTTAGCTCTGCCGCTTCCAGTTCCACCTCCTGTGTGTTTGTTTACCATCTCAAGACAATACATTAACCCTTTGATGCATGAATTATGAAATCTTCAACCATGATTTTTTAAACAATTTATTTCATTCGTCTTTAGGTGTGAATGAAACAAATTTCAACAAATATTTTTTTTTTAAATTTTATAATTTACAAATAATTTATTACATGTCCACCTCAGTGGACAGCGTGCATTCTGAACATGAAATATGTTGGCTTGGCTTACTGAAGTCCAAATGGAGGGGCTCAAATGCAATAAAGTCTTCAACAGCTGTGCTTAATAGCAAAAAATAAATAAATAACAATTTTGAGTACCTGTCCACTGTAGTGACCATTATGCATCAAAGGGTTAAAATGGGTCCCACTGCCATCTTTCTTGATGCTCCCTACCCTCACTACATATAACGATGTTGTCTGCAACACCTTAAGCCATGGGGACACTTGCCTGACCTCATCTGTCATCCTGTCCATCACCATTGCAAACAAGAAGTGCCTCATAGCTGATCCCTGATATAATCCCACCTCCGACTCAATCCTACTGCACTTTGCACTCCTGTTTTGCTGTCCTCGTACAGTCATGGCAGAAAGACCTGTATCCTTCAAGCCTAGGATTTCACTCACTAGAACATAAAAAAGCATCTGTTTTGTTTTATGTTCTAACGTTTTCCAAACCTGATCTCTGATGTGCAAAAACACACAGCAGATGCATTTATTTATTCAATGACAACAAAGCCAAAATGGAAAATCTGCCCTGTTGCTTTTATAGGCTTTTGCAGGTTCAGCATAAGCAAGGTGCTACTGATCAACTGCACTTGATTACTGATGTTCATCAGTATGAGTTTCTGAAAGCGCACATTTTTGCAGTTTGCCCGTCAGAAGCATGGAGTGTTAACACGATGCTGAGAAAGAGAAAGCATTGACCTTAGACAAGCAACTGTTGCTACCCAACAATAGGAGAGGTTAAAGGTCAATTCTAAACTGTTTAGAGATAATCACTCTACAGTAGGAAAGATTATCCATCAGTAAAAAACATTTAGGACCGCTGCCATTCTTTTCAGGAGTGGATGCCCAAAGGCAGGGTGTGCAATGATCTAAAAACGTTTGAGAAAACAGCAGCCACACCTACTAGCGTATATTAGCACGTTAAATGTTAAAGTTGATGTGCGTGTGTGTGTGCGTGTGTGTGTGTGTGTGTGTGTGTGTGTGCGCGCGCACGCGTGTTACACACCAGTAATCCTTTAACCCTTTGATGCATGAATTATGAAATCTTCAACCATGATTTTTTAACAATTTATTTCATTCGTCTTTAGGTGTGAATGAAACAAATTTCAACAAATATTTTTTGTAAAATTTTATAATTTACAAATAATTTATTACAGGTCCACCTCAGTGGACAGCGTGCATTATGAACATGAAATATGTTGGCTTGGCTTACTGAAGTCCAAATGGAGGGGCTCAAATGCAATAAAGTCTTCAACAGCTCTGCTTAATAGCAAAAACAAATAAATAACTATTTTGAGGTCCACTGTAGTGACCATTACGCATCAAAGGGTTAAGTCCCAGTCTGCTGTAGTCTTTTTATTTTGTTTTAAGTTTTCCACCTTTTTCTTTTAGCAAATGAACAAAAACATGTAAGTTCTGGTCTTACAACTTACAAAGATTTTTATCGAATTAAGTCAGAAATGCAGAGGAGAAAAGTGGTCTAAAGTGTGTGCGAATGAATTGGTGAATTGTTAACAAAAATGCATGAAGTTGTATGAAAAGCTCAGTTTGGCATGGAGACTCATATTGTCTGATGCCCTCATCCTGCCAGGTACTTCCCATTTGGCATCGTTTTCCTGGTGGCTGGTAAGATCCTGGAGATGAGTGACCCCTCCGCCATGGGGAAGAAGCTGGGTTTCTATGCCATCACCGTGGTGTTTGGGTTGGTGTTACATGGCTTGTTTATACTGCCTGCCATGTACTTCTTCATCACCAAAAAGAGCCCAATTGTTTACATCAGAGGAATCCTGCAGGCTCTGCTTATTGCCCTGGCAACATCATCCAGGTAAAAATAGTTAGTGTTGAGTTAAAAAGTTTTTTTTAAATGTGACAGTATTTGTTACTTATTGGCTTTAAAAGAAGAAGAGAGAATTGGATGAAATTTATTTTTTATGTTCAAACCGCTAATAATTTTCAATGACTGGACATCATTTTATTCATTTTCAACAACATTTTGATGGATATTTCTAGAGATTAATGATAAAAACTACACATTGTCTCTTTAACAGATTTATGATCAACTAACACATCTACTTGCTGCAAATGGCATCGGTAGATGTTGAAGCATGCACAAAGGGCTGCAGAAAATACCTTGAACATCAGTGGTTTTAGCCTTATTAAAAGATTTTTCTAATGGAACAATGTGATGAGAATTTGTATTGGAGACCAAAATAATTTTCTGGCCCAAGATGATTGAGGCTCATCAGCAACTTTAAGGTTTCCAAGGTAATTTCATCTGCAGCCATTAGGGGTGTAACGAGATCTCACTGTACAAGATCTCGCAATGTTACAACGTCCCAGTATTTCTGGATTTGTTTGTGTGTAGATTAAAGTATACACAATCTTTTAGTAGGAAATCCACATAAGTCTTTAAATGAGGCTCCTAGGCCTAGTCCACACATAGCCGGGTTTTTAAAAAAACGAATATCAGCCCCTCCAAAAACTTGCGTCCACACCACCTCGTTTTAAAAAATAACTGTCCACTCGTACCCGGATAAATACGTTGTTAAGGACATGCCAGACCTGTAGGCGGCAGTACTTCCCCCGTTCTTAACCTCGTCCTTCGTCTGTGGTCTTCCGCAAGGAGCAGTAATTCCGCTTGCAAAAACAAACAAGCAAAAAGCGCTTGGACAATTGATAAAGCGAGCGCAGCTCTGAGGGCATCCATGCTGTCGGCTAGTGTAAACACAGGTCGCACACGTGATGTCAGCATTTTTTTGTCGCGGAAAGTGACATTGCGGACCTTAAAACTCCGGTTTTGTCTGTCCACACGCAGACACCCAAAACGGAGAAAACGCAGATCTTCACTTTGGCCGGAGTTTTTAAAAAGATCCGTTTTCGTGTGAAAAAACTCCGTTTTCGTGTGGATGACAGGCCAAAACGTAGAAAAATATCTACGTTTTGGCAGATCCCCGGCTACGTGTGGACAGGGCCCTAGAGTTTCCAGTGACTTCATGTGTGCATGCATTTTCAACAAAAGCATGTATAGCTTGATTTAAACACAAATACTTTATAATTAAACACAGACAGTATCATCTTCACCACGCTGAAATTGTTATCCTTGATGATGATATGGAATTGATAAAGGTGAGTTTCTGCCTGTAAACAAAGCCAGCGGTATGTTTTATGCTTGATATTTTAAAGCTTCTCTAGTGTTGTTTGAAAACATGTAAATATGTTAGGTCATGTTTCAAAAGTTTAGTCCATTTAATCTGGCAAATTATAATATAATATAAATGGTCTTTATAGGAATTTTATTAAACTACGAACTAAGGAAGCTGAAACCAGATATAAAGTTTACAAAAATAAATTAACTGAAATAATAAGAACTAGTAAAAATATATATTACAGAAAATTCCTAAATGAAAATAAGAATAACTTAAAAGGTGTCTGGGATATACTAAACAAATGAAGGAATGGTGGGACCAAGAAAATACTATACCCTGAATACTTTACTGATAATCAAAGTGATATTTATGATAAAATAAAAGTAGTTAAAAGAATGAATGAATATTTTGTGAATGTGGGCCCAGAGCTAGCCGCAAATATACCAAGCCAAAAAAGACAGACAATAAGTGAACCATTGATAATAACAAACTACCCCGACTCAATCTTCCTCTCAGCAGTGGATGAGTTGGAAGTTAAATCAGTTGTTGATAAATGTAACAACAAAGTCTCCACTGATTGTGACGGTATTGATTTGGTGTTGGTTAAAAGAGTTATTGATGGTATTCTAAAACCATTAACTTATATATATATATATATATATATATATATATATATATATATATAACTTATCCTTCCAAACTGGTTTATTTCCTCAGAAAATGAAAGTAGCTAAAGTAATACCAATTTTTAAGCAAGGGAATAAACATCTCTTTAACAACTACAGGCCAGTATCACTTCTTCCTCAATTTTCAAAAATCCTGGAAAAACGATTTAATATCAGACTAGAAAACTTTTAAAATAAACACGAAATATTAAACCATAGTCAGTACAGATTCAGAGAAAAGAGGACAACAGCACTTGCAATAATGGAAGCAACCGATGAAATAATTAATACATTAGATAAAGGTAAATATGCTATTGGAGTATTTATAGATCTTAGGAAAGCTTTTGATACAATAAATCACTCAATTCTCATAAACAAGCTTCAACAGTACGGCATTAGGGGAATAGCACTGGACTGGATCACCAATTATTTATCTAAGAGACAATTTGTGAAAATGGACGATGTCACTTCTGAAAGTATGGGGATTGCCTGTGGTGTCCCCCAGGGGTCAGTATTAGGACCTGCTCTATTTTATATATATATATATATATATATATATATATATATATATATATATATATATATATATATATGACATTTTTCAAGTCTGAAAAACTCTGAAGATGATCTTATTTGCTGATGATACAAATTTGTTCTACGCTGGAAATGATATCAATCAAATAATTAATATTATTATAAAGAATTAAGTAAACTAAAAAATGGATGAATAATAATAAATTATCATTGAATGTAGAAAAAACTGAGGTAATGATGTTTGGAAATTGTAAAAACAAAACAGAAGTATGTATAAAGATTGACGATGGAAAAATTGAGAATGTTAATGAAATCTAATTTTTGGGTGTGATACTGGATAAGAAACAGTTGGAAGCCCTACATTAGACACATACAAACCAAAGCAGCAAAAAATGTTGCAATCAGAAATAAAAATGAAGCAACTTTTGGACTGTAAATCACTCCATACTCTGTACTGTTCATTAGTTCTGCCATAGTTCGCTTACTGTATAGAGCTTTGGGGAAACAATTATAAAAATGCACTACACCCACTATCAGAATTGCAAAAGAGGGTAATACGTGTAATTCATAAAGTTGGGTATCTGGATCATACATATTCTTTGTTTTCACAGTCAAAATACATTAAACTTCAAGACCTGGTTCATTATCAAACAGCTCAAATCAAGTTTAAAGCTAGTAAGCACTTATTGCCACCTAATATTCAAAAGCTCTTCAACCAGAGTGATGAGGGATATAATTTACGAAGGACTAAAAATTTTAAAATGCCTAGGGTAAGAACCACTAAAAGGAGTTTCTGTGTATCAGCATGTGGTGTGAAACTGTGGAATGGGCTGCAGGAAATACACAAACAGTGTCCAAATATAAACAAATTTAAATCACTGTATAAAAAAATGATAATTAATGGATGTGAAAATGAGGTTCTCTGATGTTCTGGAAACTATGATAATGTCATTATTATTTTGCTGTTGTTGATGTTATTATTATACTATCACTAGTACCATAAAATGCTAATGCAAAATGCTCTCACTAGTAGCTGTATATATATATATATATGTATATATATATATATATATATATATATATATATATATATATATATATATATATATATATATATATATATACATACATATATGTATGTATGTGTGTATATATATATATATATATATATATATATATATATATATATACATACATATATGTATGTATGTGTGTATATATATATATATATATATATAGGTAGGTAGGTAGGTAGGTAGGTAGGTAGGTAGGTAGGTAGGTAGGTAGGTATAGATGGTAATTTGTAAAGTAAAATAGTAATGTGAGACAAGGGGGTGGGATTGAATAAGCACTTGCTTCTTCTTACTCCCTTTGGATAAAGACTTCTTTTTTATTGGTATATCTTTTCTTTTCTACTATGTTCATTGATTTTTAAAAAATATTTTGTCTTATGTTCAAATAAACGTTCCAATCAATCAATCAAAAAATCTAATTATTAAAGCTGGGATCCATTGCACGATGTCATCAAAGAAAGGAAGAGGAGATGTTGAAATTTGAAAGGTTATTGTTCCTTCCCCTGCCTCTCCTCCCCTTCAGAAAGCCACGCCTCATAATACAAACGCACACAATTAGCCTTGTAGCACTGATCGACAAGTAGTGTCCTGTATTTCATATAGCGCCTTAGGGTCCTACAAATCATCCAGGTAATCCACAACTCAATCAGTCATTCACTCATGCACACACACACACACACACACACACACACACACACACACATTACTTCCCTAGTGGTGATGAGCTACGTCGTAGCTACAGCTGCCCTGGGTCGCACTGACGGAAGCGAGGCTGCCGAACACCGGCGCCACTGGTGCCTCCGACCACCACTGGCAGGCAACGTGGGTTAAGTGTCTTGCCCAAGGACACAACAGCGACATTCTGTTATCATTTAGGATTGAACCCTCTGATTGCTGGATAACCCGTTCTACATCTCCACTGCTGCCCCCAAGCTGGAAACGTAGAAAATTCAAGTATTGTTTTGATATTTTCCTGCTTGGAGTGGCTTAGGACCTATGATACAAAAAAAGGTTCATTAAAATCATATGTCAGTTCTCCCTTGGTTTGTTGGTCTAATGAGACTAACTACAAGTGCAGCTGCTCCGTGTCTGGCACACTCCTTGTGTGAAGTGACACGCCACACAGCATGCGAGCAGCTGTAATGTGCAGTGCATTATCCAGTGTGAAGTGGGGTTGGGGAATTATTATCTACTTTATATGATAGAACAGGTTCAGATAGCCAAATTTAAGCATTTTAAGGTATTTTGAAATATTTATAATACGTACCCCAGCTTTAAATAATTCAGGTAGAAATTCATTAGTGTTTACATTTCATCAGATATTCTAACATCATCTCCTTGTTCTATATCTTCTTCAGCTCTGCCACCTTGCCTATAACCTTCAAGTGCCTCTTAGAGAACAATCACATCGACCGTCGCATAATACGATTTGTGCTCCCTGTGGGTGCTACCATCAACATGGACGGCACTGCTCTATATGAGGCTGTGGCTGCCATCTTCATTGCACAGGTTAATAACTATGAGCTGGACTTTGGACAAATCATCACCATCAGGTCAGTGAACCAAACCACCACTGCTTTATACACTCAGTGGTTGATTCTAGTATTGACAATACCACTTGCTGGGGTAGTATTACACAAATTACTTTAAAACCTTTGAGAATGCCAATTCTGGTCTAGCAGCCTATGATACTTGGTTCAAAACTAATAAATTATCATGAAATGTAAAAAAAAATCATATTTCATTATATTTACAGCATTAGATTATTGCAGAGTTACATTCACTACCTGGTCCAAAAAAGTCATCACTTGGATTTAACTAAGAAAATAGGTCTGAGCCTCCTATTGGATAATTACTGCATGGCTGCATTCAGCTGGCAACAAGTTATTTAACCCCAACTAGTGCAATGAGTTGCTTCTCATTTCTTAAACAACCATGTGGAAAGACACACATTGTGGAAAGGATGTTAGTCTGTTTGAGAAGGGTCAGATCATTGGCATGCAACAAGCAGAGGTGTAGAGCCATTTTTAAAGAGAGTAGCAGACTTAGTGGCAGAGCCACTTACAACTCTTTTTAATCTGTTGATCGACACCAATAAATTTCCATTAGTGTGGAAATCAGCTTATGTTTTTACCAGTCTTAAAAGGAGGCGATCCAGCAGTTCTGAATAATTGCAGGCCACAATCAAATTTATGTGTTATCCAAGATTCTGGATTCTCTTGTTAGTGGTGAGCTGAAAGAGTACTTGAGCTCTAATGACGTCCTCTCTAAATCTCAATCAGGCTTTAGGAAAAAATACAGTACTATTACAGCTAATTTTAATGTGGTAAATGATATTATTGTGGTAAGAAACAGTTTTGTGCTTCACTGTTTTACGACCTGTCAAAAGTTTTTGACGCTGTTGACCATACTGTCTTGAAAAGTAGACTACTTAGCCTTGGTTTGGCAGAACACTCAGAAGCATGGGTCTCAAATTACCTGAATAACAGGACACAATGTATTAAATGTGAGGGTGAGGGGGTGAAAGAGGGTGCCCAAGGGCTCAATCTTGGGGCCCCACCTATTTATCTTGTACATCAATGACTTGGGTCAAAATGTTTCTGATGCAAATATGCACTTTTAGGCTGATGATACAGTTATTTATTGTTTTGTCACTTCCCTTTCTTGGGTTATTGAATCCTTGCAGAAAGCTTTTGTTGCAGTCCAGCATTCACTTCATCAGTTAAAACTGGCCCTTGGTGCTGAGAAGACTAAGCTGTTTTCTAAGTGGAAAGTGCCAGATATTGTTCCAGTAGTGACCACTCTGGAAGGGAAGGTCATACAGGTGGACCATGAACACGAGTACCTTAGTGTCTTGATTAATTACTCACTTACTTTCAAACCACACATAGAAAAACTGTTGAACTAAAACTTATGGTAGGTTATTTTCTTCCATAGTAAGTTGAGTTTTTTTTTTGAAGTAAAACGGTGTTTTGTCACTGCTACTTTTTTTTATCTGTGTTAGATTATGCTGATCTCTTTTCTATGAATGCTAAGCTTCTTTTACTGCTCTTCAAAAGCTGGGCTTGGTTTATCATGCATCTTTGAGGTTTATCACCAACTGTAGAGCCATGACACATCACTGTGATTTGTACTCATAAGTGTGGCAGCCATCATTGGCCACTAGAAGGCAGGGTCATTGGTATGTTTTTATATACAAGGCATTGCTTGGATTATTGCCTTCTTATTTAGCCCTTTAACAGTGTTGGGAGTAATGCAGTACAAAAGTAATTAATTACTGTAATGCATTGCTTTTTGCTGTAATGTGGTAATGTAAGGCATTATAGGGAAACAAAATGGTAATATTTACTTGGTACAATTGTCAGTAATGTGGTGATTACAATGCATTTTTAAACCCAGAATCAAGATGTGTTTCTTAAAAATTCAAATTGTGGGAAGCCCGAAAAAAGATCCAGTATCTGCATATATTACGTCATTTATGGACTCAGCTTTGCGGGCAGAGAGGATGCAACGGGAACGGCTCAAATACTCCTGTGTCCTGCACGCGGCCGCTGTAACATTCACAAAATCGCTCCACTAAAACAAAATAATTCACTTGCGATCATTCATATCGGTGCATATTCTCTGGTACTTTCTGTACTTGTCTGACATGCTTTGCCTCTGCTGAGTTCATAATCTGTACCCCGGTGATTTCAACTCATTGCTGCTGGAGTGCAGCACAGGTTAAGATCCCTTAGGCTGATTAGTTAGAAAGTAGGACGTCTAAGAAACTGTTTTTCTGGAAGACTGAGAAAAGATGCAGCATGCAGGAAGGTTAGAGAGAAAGGGCAGGAAATTATTCAAATAAAATCAAGAAATCAAAACAAAAGTGCTTGAAAAGAAAAAAATAGGTAGATTTATCCCCAATACACATTTTTACTTGTGAAAAGCAATAATATATAAGCATTTAATATTTATACATGTGATAGAATCAGATCACCCTCAAAAGTCAGTCCCACATCCAGATCCAGGGCCGTATCAAGGCATTTGGGGACCAAGGCTAAATCAGCTTGGAGCCCCCACCACCTCACTCCCTGCTCGGTTAATATAAGATGGCAGCGTGCTGAGAGTACAGTTTGTTGTTGCTTTTATTTAATAAACAATCATTCTAAAGAACTGTTTTTAACAGCAACACTAGCTCAGACACCATATCACCTTCCACCGGATGTGTCATGAGTTCACTGGGCGTCAGATGACCAGATTCATACTGAAGTTGTTTTGTTAAAAGTAACTTAGAGTAATGCAAAAGTAGTGTAATGCCTTACATTTTAAAATCAGTAATCTTGTAATGTAATGAATTACTTGAAAATGAGGGTAACAAGTAATAAATACCGCATTACAGTTTTGAAGTAACTTGCCCAACACTGCCCTTTAATAACACGGAGAGGTGTTGACTCCTATTCTTTAACTCATTCACTGCCAGCCGTTTCCTGATCGCTAACGGCCTTCGCTGCCAGCGTTTCTCACCGTTTTTACTGTTTTTTTAAGAGTCACAGAACGTTGCGCGCTAGCATGAAGTCGATGCCAAAACAACCAAAACAAAGAGGAGACTCACCTCTTACATCAGGAAGAAGCCGCGTGTTTCGAGCGTTATCCGTTCTTTCATAATCCGTTGTCGAATTGTGGTCGGCAGACGCTTTTCCGGCTCGCGCCTCACTTTTTTTACAGGAACGGCCCAAAACGATCTCCAAACACATGGATGGTCTGCTTCCTGATCATGTGATCTGTGACGTATGCGGATGAAGATCGGCTTCAGGGCTGAGATGTTTGTTCTCTCAGCGCGGGGGATTGTTCCGATGCTCAAACAGTAAAAAAAAATGCAAATGACGACTTTAGTCGTCATTGGCAGTGAACGGTTGGATCTAAAATGACGACTTTAGTCGTCAATGGCAGTGAATGAGTTAAGGTCCAATGATCAGCTGTTGCTGTCTGTCCCATTTGCTCGTACAGAGATTGGGAAGAAAGCCTGTGGCTATTCATCTCCTTTTGATTGGAACCTGCTGCAGAAAGACTGGAAACTGACCAAACTAGTTTCCTTAAATGAATTCAAAAGCAAGCTGAAAGCATCAGAGACCACATCAGTAGTTTGTAATTGTTTTTAATGGTATTTGATATTTTGCCACTGCTTTTAAATTGTAACTATGTGAAATGTTGCTGCCTCTTGGCCAGGACACCCTTGTAAAAGAGGTTTTTAAATCTCAATGGGATGTTTTTCCCTTGTTAAATAAAGGATAAATAAATAAAAATAAAACATTATTAAAAACTGGTCCCAGATGGACCCTGTTCCAGAGTGATGGTGCATCAGGGTAAGAAGAGAGGCTGATGAAGTAATGCACCCATCATGTCTACTTCCTACTGTACAAGCCTGTGGAGACAGTACTCTGATCTGGGGTTGCTGCAGTTGGTCAGGTTTAGGTTCAGCAACAGGATGTGGTTCAAGAAAGAGGTCAGCTGACTACCTGAAAATACTAAATGACCAGGTTATCCCATCAATGGATGCTTTCTTCTCTGATGGCACGGGCATATTCCAGGATGACAATGCCAGGATTCATCAGGCATAGGCCTAGTCCACACGTAGCCGTTTTTTTTTAAACGAATATCCGCTCCTCCAAAAACTTGCATCCACACCACCTCGTTTAAAAAAAAACTCTGTCCACATGTACCCGGATAAATACGTTGTTAAGGACAAGCCAGACCTGTAGGTGGCAGTACTTCCCCCGTTCTTAACCTCGTCCTTCGTCTGTGGTCTTCCGCAAGGAGCAGTAATTCCGCTTGCAAAAACAAACAAGCAAAAAGCGCTTGGACCATTGATAAAGCGAGCGCAGCTCTGAGGGCATCCATGCTGTCGGCTAGTGTAAACACAGGTCGCACACGTGATGTCAGCATTTTTTTGTCGCGGAAAGTGACGTTGCGGACCTTAAAACCCCGGTTTTGTCTGTCCACACGCAGACACCCAAAACGGAGAAAACGCAGATCTTCACTTTGGCCGGAGTTTTTAAAAAAATCCGTTTTCATGTGAAAAAACTCCGTTTTCGTGTGGATGACAGGCCAAAACGTAGAAAAATATCTACGTTTTGGCAGATCCCCGGCTATGTGTGGACAGGGCCTCAGATAGTGAAAGAATGGTTCAAGGAGCATGAGACATCATTTTCACACATAGATTGGCCACCACAGAGTCCAGACCTTAACCCCATTGAGAATATTTGGTATGTGCTGGAGAAGGCTTTGTGCAGCGGTCAGACTCTACCATCATCAATACAAGAGCTTGGTGAAACATTAATGCAACACTGGATGGAAATAAATCTTGTGCCATTGCAGAAGCTTATCAAAACAATGTCACAGCGACTATGTGCTGTAATCAAAGTTAAAGGTTGTCCAACAAAATATTAGTGTGTGTGAGACCTTTGTTTTTCAGTGGTGACTTTTTTTTTGGTCGAGCAGTGTATGTTTTATTATTGAGATTCAATTCAAAACAAGCGCACATATTTCTGTTTATAGTCGACTCCTAAACACCTACATCCTGGATATCGTATGAAGAGCATCTTTAGTCTAGCGAAAGTGAGGTCATCTTTCAGTTGGAGGATGTGACAATGTTTTAGGGCAAGATTCCAAATCCCAATTTCTCCTATGTTTACTATTAAATAAGGGAGAATGTGAAATAGTTGTGTATAAAATGTATTTTTCTTTTTTGTCAACGGATCATATATTATAAAGGTTAAACCCAGGTGTTCCAGGCAGAAGGTCGCCCATTTTGCGCCTGATGCTGTTGCCTTCTCAGTGTTCGACTGGTAGAGCATCCGCCCTGATTCTGGGAGATTGGTGTTCAAATCCCAGTTGGATCATACCAAAGACTTTAAAAATGCGGCTTCAATTCCTCCCTGCGTGACACCCAGCTTTAAGGGGTTGGATTGGGGGGGTTAAACCACCAAATAGTTCCCAAGAGCAGCCACTGCTCCAGCTCAACGCTCCCCACGGGGATGGGTCAAATGCAGAGATCTAATTTCGCCGGTGAGAGATGATGGCACTATGGGACTTTGGAGTTTTCTTTCTGTTACAAGCATTTGTTTCCTTCCACTATCACCCTGCATACTGTGCTGCTCTAAACAGTTTCAGTGAAGGCTCAATCCAAAACACTGATTCCCATATTTAGGTCAGCCTTGTCTACTTGGCATTTCATAATCTACTAAATCCAAATTATTTTAATATAATTTAATTCACTGCAAACAACTGGCATGAGTTTGGACCTGAAATAAATTTGACTTATCTTTTTTTTCTACAGCACTTTGGTTGTGTGTGTTTTAGGAAATTTACACTGGTAAAAAAGTTTATATGCATAAACTGTACAAACCTCCCAAATCTCCCCCAGTATCACAGCCACTGCAGCCAGTATCGGTGCAGCTGGGATACCACAGGCTGGACTGGTTACCATGGTGATAGTGCTAACATCTGTCGGGTTGCCAACTGATGACATCACCCTCATTATTGCAGTAGACTGGGCTTTGTAAGTTACACTTCTTTACATTGTAATGAATTATCTTCTAAAGGGCAAAACTAATCATTCACAGTGCAACCAGCGAGAGCAGCCTTTGCCCTTGAATATTAAACATGCCCTGGAAAACGTCTCTCCTCTTCCACAGAGACAGATTCCGCACAATGGTAAATGTGATGGGTGATGCTTTGGCCACAGGCATCATGGCACACATCTGCAGGAAAGATTTCATGAAGGAAGGAGATGGGGTGAGTCCCGGTTACAGCTCGTCTGTCAGGTTCAGGCTTTAACTTTATGTTGTACAGTTGGCTTCTGCACGAGCTAAGGAGCCTGTGAGCTTTACATTCTGACAGCTCCAAAATAAGATTACAAAGTACTGAAAGACCAAAAAGATTTTCTTCAGTGAGCAAGTAGAAAACTAATGTATAAAAATTGCTTCAAACCTGAAAAATGAATGTCAGAACAACTCTCCGAATTCGGTACTTTTTAAGGTACCGACCGAATTCCACAGTACCGACCGAGCACCGATTCACTTCATTTGAAACGGTGCCTCGTTTCGGTACCAGTCCTTCACAACGAGAACTTGCCTAGACAGCTGCGCATGCGCAAGAGCGTTATGTCGTCGGTCGCTGCGAGCCAGTTGTAAACAGAGCAGCATGGTACAAAGAACGCACGCTAACGCTTGGGTCCACTTCACTAAATGTGATGGGTAACTGGGTGATGATGAAACCAGCGACAACAATCTAAGTGAGACATCCTCATCTTAATCTGCTCCGGTAGGTAAATAAAATGTTTAAGATAACGTTAGCTTGATATGTTAGCTTCCGTTTCGCTAATGGTGCGTTCGCTTTCTCCTCGGAACTCCGAAATTCCGACTAGAAGAACATTAACGCGCACTAAAGTTTGGCTTCACTTTACTAAATGCGACAGGTGATTGGGTGAAGATGAAACCAGTGACAACGATTTAAGTGTGAGGCATCATCGTTTTAATCTGCTCCAGCAGCTAAATAAACTGTTTAAGATAATGTTAGCTTGATATGTTAGCTTCCTATGCCACCATTGTTATCATCTAATGGTGCGTTCGCTGATGTTAAAATACAAACAGTTGAATGTTATTCATCGTGATTTTTATCAAATATTGTTATATATTGAGAAAAATATATATCTAATTATAAAAGAGAATTAAAATATTAAACACTCAAAAGTATCGAAAATTGGTACCGTTAAGTACCGGTATCGATTCGTTGGTACCGGGAATTAGTACCGGATCGATTCAAATGTCAAAGGTACCCATCCCTACAGAACAGGTAGAATTCAAACAAAGCCTCATAAAACAAACCAATTAAGTAATTTAAACAATAACTGAAGAAACTTGTTTTACTCGTTGGCATATTTTCCTCATGATTTTCCGCTGGATAAACTTACGATGCTCATCAAATGGTTTCATGCTTGTTTTTTGTTGTCCCACAGGTACCACTGATCTGTGAGACCAAACTTCCTGTCAGTAATCCACCTACAATGAACTGCCACATCAGCAATGGCAACTTCCGACCTCTTTCCTCAGGTGTCAAACACAAGCTCATCCCACCTGATGTAGCCAGACTCATGCGGCTTGAGGAAGGCGTTCGCCACGTTTCAGACAGGAAGAAACCTCCAGTTCCTCCCAGACACCTCAAGAAAAGCAAAGAACACTGTACTTTTGACCTAAATGGCCTTGAGACCAATGTATAGCCTCTTCGTGGAACTTGGAACATTTGGACTGATGGGACTACTGGTCCCTGAAGAGAGAGACATGTAAAGACATCTGTAACCATAATAATGTCTCTGGGACAAAGCTTTCCTGAAAGGCAAAAGGAAAACAGTTTGTGGCTGGAAGAGGACTAGACTGATTGTTGCTCAATCAAAACTCTGTTGTCTGTCTGTCTGTCTTATCTATCTATCTATCTATCTATCTATCTATCTATCTATCTATCTATCTATCTATCTATCTATCTATCTATCTATCTATCTATCTATCATCTATCTATCTATCTATCTATCTATCTATCTATCTATCTATCTATCTATCTATCTATCTATCTATCTATCTATCTATCTATCTATCTATCTATCATCTATCTATCATCTATCTATCTATCTATCTATCTATCTATCTATCTATCTATCTATCTATCTATCATCTATCTATCTATCTATCTATCTATCTATCTATCTATCTATCTATCTATCTATCTATCATCTATCTATCTATCTATCATCTATCTATCATCTATCTATCTATCTATCTATCTATCTATCTATCTATCTATCTATCTATCTATCATCTATCTATCTATCTATCTATCTATCTATCTATCTATCTATCTATCTATCTATCTATCTATCTATCTATCTATCTATCATCTATCTATCTATCTATCTATCTATCTATCTATCTATCTATCTATCTATCTATCATCTATCTATCTGGATTTGAATAAATGAATATTTAAAATGTTCTACAAGCACCAAGTTGTTTGCAGTTTTAAGTTGCTAGAGCCAGTTGGTCTGGCTGGCTAAATGGCTGATTGATTGATCGATCGATCGATCGATAGATCGATAGATCGGTTGATCGTTTGGTTGGTTGGTTGGTTAATTTGAAAGGGACAGTGCATTTAATTATGAAGTTTTTGTTAAAGTGCAGCTGTCATAAGCTTCACAATTATAACATGTCTTTGAGGGAAACATCATGCAAAAATATTTGTTATAAGGTCTAATACATTTTTAAACAAGACAGTCTTCTGCATTTTTTAAATAATTTATTGCTTTCTGTCAGTGAATGCAGGCTGGATGATGGAAAAGTGACACTGTGTTTATAACAGTGCAGCAATGGTAACAGGATAAACATTTGTATAAAATCATGGCTGTCTGTAAACAACACAAATAGACTGAAGTCTCAGAAACAAAATTAATTTGAAGGTCCAACAATGAAGGTAATGCTTATTTGCTCTAATTAATAATAACAATAAACATATTTCATTTCAAAGCATATGGCAGCATGACAAATGTCATCATGCTAAATCAATGCACAGTTTGTTGTTAACGAGTATATATGTAAAGAACCTGTCTAGCTGCATTTATTATGAGGTTTTACATCATTTGAATAACAAGAAATAAGTGCTGAAACAACTGTCAGTACAGGCGATCTGTGGTAAATTATTTTCACGATGAGCTTTCATATGACACACAGTTGACTTGCAAGTTGTCTCACAACAAATTCCAACTGGTCGTAGCCCTGCTAGCTATTAGCTAGCCAATTTGTTCAGAATTCAGATGAATTCCTCCAAACTGTGCAGAAAGCCCAGTTTGGTATTCAAACACCAACTGGTCCACAGTAATTAAACCAAAATTGCATTTTAAAGGTGGAAGGCAGTTCAAGAAGCTCCAAATTGACCAAGAAAAACAAAGAACTAAGGAAACTTGGTATATCTTGTGCATTTCATACATTGTTTTGGATTTAGAAACATTCGCATGAAAACGTTAGCACTGGATGTAACAAAGGTATATTTTAAAACAAAGCACAGACATCTAATTTGTGATATATGTTTAGCATCAAAAGCACATATTCAATTTCAGGTATGAGGATATGTACTCTATAAAACTGAAAGTCACTTCATCCGGTATCCTGCACCAGAATTAAGTGACAGCACAGATTCCATGTCCCTTTGAAGCATGTTCTGTTCTTGGCAAAATACAGTCCAGTGTCTGTTTGGCTAAGTGTGTGTCCTATGTGTCTCGCACCTCCGCCTTCATCTGATCAATCTCCATTTCCTCTTTCGTACAGCAAAGCTCTGGGTTCCCTGTACCAAAGTCCAGCACTTGCAAGTTGACCAGGTGTGCGAAAGCACTCTCATCCACTGAGCTCTCAGGCAGGCGGTTAGACCTTTGAACCAAAAACAGAGTAGTACAACGCATGTTATCCACATTTAACAACTTATCCACATACTGTAGCTTTCTGAAAGCAATTACTCGTTATATTAGTCATGTGTAGACCTGTAATCAACCTGGGGATAATTTCAACAACAGAAGAAAGTGGCGTGTTGGTCTTTGCACAGGTCTATTAGATTACTTCACAGATTAATCTCGGGCTTTAGTGGCTCAGCGAGGCTAACAGCAAAAGTTTGAATGCTCCATGGGGTAGATCAGTCATAGGTAGAAGCTGGCCTAGGATATTCATGAATGGGCCCATATGTCTTGTTCAATGGCTTTTACTTTGAACACTTTTCCTTTAATTTAACAGGCAAGCACTGAATGCAGCATCAAAACAAAAGTGTCACTGCATGAGATTATATATATATTAGAGCTGAAACAACTAATCGATTTAATCGATTATAATCGATTATTAAAATAGTTAACAACTTTTTTAGTCATCGATTAGTTGTTTAATAATCATATTTTACCGCATAAAGTCTATTTTTTACCACAATCTGACATCGGTTACAAGCTGTTAAATTTGCCGCCAGTGTGTGGCAGTAATGAGCCACTGATCTACCAGTGGAGCCGTAGAAGAAGAAATGAGCCAATGGGTGCCCTCGGTTTTCATGACGTATCACGTTACTGACGCTCATCTTGCTGTGAGAAAATGGCGGAACAAGAGGAAATACGGAAGAAAAATAGAAGCGACAAAATTGAAGAGAAACCCCGGACAAAAACCTCACGAGTATGGGAGCACATTTGAGACGAAAACATGTGGGGGCTGATGCAGCAGAGGAAGAGCACCGCGGTCAAGTGAGCCGTCATTTGGAAGAGCCAGCCCGGTAAGTAACAGAAAATAAACAAGCTGGACTTAGTGTTTTAGCTGAGTTCGTTATAGTGGATGTTAAACATGTTTTTTTGCCGCGTCAGTCTGCGGTGTTCTACTTCTGATTGACTAGATGCAATCGTGAATCTCCTCCGTGTTGTGTATCATGCGCTTGCCAAATTTAGCACGTCTGTTTATAAGAATGTTCTCGTTAAGAGAAAAACGGCACAAACCCATAACTATGTTCCTCATTCAAAAAAGGACAACTCCGCGGAGAAAAATATACAGACAAGCTGTGTCCAGGTGAATATAACGCGGCATAGTTGTACACTTTCAATTTTTAAATACAGGAGAAATTCAGAAAAAGTCATTTTTTTACTATTAAAAGGCTGTTTTACTATCTAACGCTGTAAAACGCCTCACAACACATTTTTATCATGTTTCTTAAACAGTATTACACAAAATAAACATTTTTCACATTTCTCTGGCTAATTTAAACACTCCCGACTCAAAGTAAAAACCTCATGAGCTTCTTACTTAGAGCTTTTTAATAGTAAAAATGTTTTACTTTTTTTCTGAATATCTCCTGTTGCGGGCTATTTTGTAGAACGTAACCCTCAAAATAAATGATCACTGTATATTGTTAATTAATTCAAATAATATAATATTGATTTAGTGTTGTAGTGTGTGTGCTGCTTTATTTTATATGTGTACTTATTTCAGTCTATTTGTGTTTCTTATGCAGAAAAAAACAAGCAACGATGGACAACTACATGGGGAAGAAGACACTCACCCCCCAGCAATTCATACCACTTACAAACTCTATTCTAAACATGCTGGTAAAAGACATGAGGCCACTATCCATGGTGGAAGGAGCAGGCTTCCAGCTAATGCTAAAAATTATTCTGGACTGATATTTTGCACTGTTTAGCTCATTTTATACTGCTGACTGTGTTCATGTGCAATAAAATAGATTGCAGTCAACTGCACAATTCTCTTATGTTTTTTTGTTCTTAACTGAAATGCATCCATCACTTGTATAGGTTAAATAGCTAAACAATAACAAACCGATTAATCGATTAATCGAAAAAATAATCGACAGATTAATCGATTATGAAAATAATCGTTAGTTGCAGCCCTAATATATATATATACATATATATGTGTATATATATATATATATATATATATATATATATATATATACACACACATATATATATATATATATATATATATATATATATATACACACATATATATATATATATATACATACATATATATATATATATATATATGTATGTATATATATATATATATACACATATATATATATACATACATATATATATATATACATATATATATATATACATACATATATATATATATACATATATATGTATATACATATATATACATATATATATATATATATGTATATACATATATATATATATATATATATACATATATATATATATATATATGTATGTATATATATACATACATATATATGTATATATATACACATATATGTATATATATATATATATATATATATATGTATATACATATATATGTATATATATACATATATATATATATATATATATGTATGTATATATATATATATGTGTATATATATACATATATATGTATGTATATATATATATATATATACATATATATATATATCCAAATGATAACCAGGAATTCCAAGATCAAGCTTCCAAAGACAGCTGACATAATTACTTCACATTGTCCTCTGATGCTAGTATTCTGGAATCCTGGGGGTTTTCTGCAAGGAGGGTTGCGTGTGTGTGTGTGTGTGTGTGTGTGTGTGTGTGCGCGCACGTGAATGGGGGGGGGGGGGGGGGGGGGCTGTGTAGCTGATTTTTAAAGAATCATAAACATCACAAACACAACAAGTTGGGAAGGGTCAAAGTCCATAAACATCAGCCATAAATCAACAAGGTCGAGGTCACTGAAACCCAAACACAATAAAAGCCTTGAGCGCACACGTCCCAACCCTCTTAACTCTTGTCCAGCCTCTGCTTTCAGCTGCAGGGCTTCTGGGTATAAGCCTGCACTATGGGGAATAAACCAAAGTAGAACGTTTTCTATGTACACAAGTTAGTGGAGATGGAGAGATTAGACACTGCACTGCGGTACTCTATAAAATTAAGTCCGAATGGTCAGTGGATGGGACATCTTTTATTAGAAATTAACTGGGGCGCAGAGAAGGATTCTGACTAAATCATTTTTTATGATCAAAACATATTTTACACAAAATCACGAGTGTTTAAAACATCAGACTTGTACAACAGCTTCACAGCAGAAACGACACCAAGTTAAACACCTACAACTAACACCCCTTTACCAGCGCCGTATAATAACGTTTCATCTGAACATCTACTAGAGCAGGGGTGTCAAAGATGCGGCACGCGGGCCGGATCCGGCCCGCAAGCGGGTTAAATCCGGCCCGCGAGATGGTTGTGTAAACTTTATTTTCATACTTTACAATGTAGAGTGAAAATAAACTTATCTTTGTGAGCAAGTTTCCTCTGTAATGAGTATAAATAAAACAAAGCTGCGCTCAAGACTCATACAAGAACTTGAATCACATCCTGAAGTTGGCCGCCACTCGGGATGTGACGTCTTATATTGATGTGCTGGTGAAAGCTAAAAGATGTAAATTAAAATGAGTCAAATATACTTTAAGTGCTGCATGAAACTGATCTTGCCATGTGATCTGTAAGCTCTTTGAATCACTAAGGAATGTTTTATTTGTTGATTTTTTTTTTTTTTTTTCAAATTTTCAAGTACACTTCAGGTGTTGTACTTGTACTACACAGTCCTCAGGCTCCAGCCTTGTTTTATATTGATTGTATTAAAACAAAGAAAACAATCTGAAGTTTTTTTTTATTTACCGGTCCGGCCCACTTGGGACTAGATTTCCCTCAATGTGGCCCCTGAGCTAAAATGAGTTCAGAGGGTGTGAGTGCAGCTCTACAGACCGTCCCCACTGACACCACAGAAACCTTTAAACTACTACAGACCCTAGCGGCAGTAGCTCTGGAGTAACGTGGCTATGAGTTACACACCACAGGCTACATATCCCAGATGAAGAAACCCAAAGTAACATGAGGAGAAATCAACCAGCTCTCTGAATATCAGGAAGGCGCAACGTGAAGAACAACGTTTAAAGATACAACTGCTGCTCCTCGAAACTGAGGGTGCTTAAATGTTTTAATTTTGTTCAACCGAAGGAAAACGATTCTAAAATCATCATAAAGGAAGATTGTGTGTCCCTCACCTCAGGAAAATACCTTTGATGTTTGGCGTGCCTTCAAAAGCGGAAGCAGGAACACTGGAAATGCGATTGCTCTGTAGGTAAAGGTACTCCAGAGACTCGGGTAAGTCAGATGGTATGTGTGTGAGCCAGTTTCCAGAGAGATCCAGTGTCTGAAATCAAAACTTAATAGTAAATAAAACATATTAACATAAAGATATAGGCTAACCAACAACCTGTCTCCAAAGCTAAGCAGGACACGGAAGGCTTCTGTCATTTCTATGGGTAAATATTGCTTTCTCTCACCACATAGCTAACATTTTATCTGTGTACTAGGTGCATAACAAATGGCCATAGTGATGACAATTCTGACAGACAAAGCTCTGACTCATTCACTCATTGTGACATTTCATAAGTTCATGCAGAGGACGAGGACTACATAACAAGCCACCTAGCTTAGCATGACCATCGTCTTTCCAAGCCACTCACCGTGAGCGCTCTGAGTTCCATCCAGGCTCCTGGGTACACTGAGTTGAGTTTTAATTGGTTGTCACTCAGCATCAACCTTTGAAGCTTCTCCATGCCTGTCAGGGCTCCATCTGGTATTGAGCTGAGCTGATTGTTCTTGATTTCAAGAACTTGCAGACTTCGAGGGAGACCCACTGGCACCGTCTGGAGGGCATTCCCAGACAGGTCAAGAGTTTCCAGCATTCGCAGCTTCCTGAATGCATCACGGTGTACCTTAGCACTCGTGAGCTTGTTGTAGCTGAGATTCAACTCTGTCAGGGTGTAAAGTAAGGCCAAGTCATTTCGACCAATCTCAGAAATAAAGTTGTGGAGAAGCATAAGTGTCTTAGCGCGTCGAGGCAAGCCCCTGGGAACGCGTTCCAACAAGTTATTGTACAAGTGGAGAGTGTGCAACTTCTTCAAGCCCTAAGGAAAACACAGATCACATGCAAATAAGAGACTGTATATGTTGCCAGATATTCAAGTATGTGTGTGTGTGTGTGTGTGTGTGTGTGTGTGTGTGTGTGTGTGTGTGTGTGTGTGTGTGTGTGTGTGTGTGTGTGTGTGTGTGTGTGTGTGTGTGTGTGTGTGTGCGTGCGTGTGTGTGTGTGTGTGTGTGTGTGTATGTATATATATATATATATATATATATATACCATACCGTAAATCCTCTAATATTGGCCTGTATTCAATTAACGGCCGGGTCTCATATTTCGGCCGGTGTCTGAGTCGGCGGAGGTGAATAATGGCCGGTATTTTACTGTGGCCGGGTGGAATGTGGTAACAAGCAAGTACAGGGGGCGGTTGTGTCATCCGTCTCACTTTTGATTTGCCAGTGATAGACCGCGAGGGTAACTTTAACCGTGCGGAGACGAAGAGGAGGCGAAAATTTGATATCAAGTTCAAAGAAAACGTGCTGATTATGCTGCAGAACACTCTGGGGAGCAGTAGCAGGGGTTGTATGAACTAGTCACTAGTCGACTTCACCGCTCTATAGTGACTGACACGCAATCGTTCATGTCGGCTCATTTCCTTTAACCCTTTGATGCATAATGGTCACTACAGTGGACAGGTACTCAAAATAGTTATTTATTTATTTTTGCTATTAAGCACAGCTGTTGAAGACTTAATTGCATCTGAGCCCCTCCATTTGGACTTCAGTAAGTCAAGCCAACATATTTCATGTTCAGAATGCATGCTGTCCACTGAGATGGACATGTAATAAATTATTTGTAAATTAACAAAATGTTACAAAAATATTTGTTGAAATTTGTTTCATTCACACCTAAAGATGAATGAAAAAAATTGTTTAAAAAATCATGGTTGAAGATTTCATAATTCATGCATCAGAGGGTTAATGTTTTCTGTCTTTTATTTGCGCCTGATGCGTTTCGCTGCTGTGGAGCGAGGCGCATCACCTTGTCCTCCGACTCACCGATCACTGATGCGGCCGGCGAGCAGCTCACACCCCGCTGTTTTTGCGGTCGGTAGATCTTTTAGAACTGCAGTTCAAAGGTAACTCATAAGGTGAATATATATGAACCCAGGTAGCAGTTTTTCTTTAGGATTGAGAGGAGATGCAGGAAGATAATAAACAGGCAGGACAGAAAAATAGTCAAATTAAAACAAGTTAGTTTTTGTACCTGGTGGTTGCAACAAACAGACACCATTGAAGGTAATCAGAAGTGAGGAACAGAAAATGAAATAATTATTTTAATGTTTAGAGCAGCAGGAACTCCGAGAGGCTGCAGGCGCATCAGTGAGTTTACGGCCGCTGCGCAGGGGGAGGGGGGAGAGGACTGAAGCAGAAACTACCGTTGTTAAAAGAAATGTGTTTAACTTTGAAAATGTGGACGCAATTTTAATTGTCAAAAACTCCAGTGAACCATTAGTTCATTTTGCTCAAATAGAAATAGAGGCCTGCCTCTAATTCTGACCCTCCTTCCAATAAAGGCCTGGAGCTTGATGAGCTTGAGTCAAATACAGGCCCGGGCCTGTATTAGAGGATTTACGGTATACAAACGTATATATAGTACCTGGAAGGCTGTTGGATGAATAGAACGAGAACGGAGTTTATTATTGTGTAGGAGCAGGTATTCCAGATTCCTCACAGAGGTGAGGGCATCTCCAGGGATGCGTTGAATGTCATTCTTCTCCAGGTGAAGTAACACAAGGTTGCGAGGCAGACCCTTGGGAACAACACTGAGGTTGTTGTTGGACAGATCGAGATATTCAAGACTACTCAGTTGGCTGCGGGGGTAAAGACAAAGAAAATCAGATCCAGTATTGGTTAAAGAGGAAGATTTTTTACAGCTTTATATTTGAGTAAATCAAATTAAATGTTGCATTTGAACAGAGAGATGCTGAAAACACTGCCCAAAAACAAATAAATGAATTGCCTGTATTTGTTGTAACACCTTCTAGAGTTATGCGACTCCCCAAGACATTCTACAACACAATCAGTCATTCACCCATCCACACGCTGGTGGTGAGAAGCAGGGAAGCCACAGCTGACAGAAAGGAGGCTGCATTGTACAGGCACCACCGTTCCTTCCGACTACCGCCAGCAGGAAACTGTCTTGCCAATTGACACGATTGCAACAGAGCGGAGCACAAACCTTCAACCCTCCGGTTACAGGGCAGACACCTAACTCCTTTGCCACCGTCACCTAATAAAAACCTATATAAAATTGTGTTGATCCTAACAATATTTTTTTAAGTTAAGGATTATAATGTTAAAGGTCTAAATACTGTCTCCAGACCCCCACCCCTAACCCTTAAATATTCTAAATAAGATTAATCAAATTATTAGATCACAAACTATTCATTGTGCGTTAGCCATCTTGATCTCTCACTCCACCGTACTCATCATGGAGTGTGTCATGACTGAACACTAGTCCCTCATTTGAAAAGAAAATGAAATAACAAAATGTGAAGAACACTGAGAATTTAGAGAAAAATGCATTTGAAATATTGCAGCACAGATGTCAAAAAGACCAAACACAAGCTTGTAAAAATCTGATTTCTGCTTACTGGATTAA